AACGCCTTGTGAGCAAAGGTGAGGATCTCTTTACTATGGAAGAAAATATCCTAATTGACCAATTCTGGATGTTCCCACCATTAATACAAACTGACATCTTGGGAAGACTAGACAAGCTAAGAGATAAGCTGGCCGAGAAAGCTCCAGGCAATGAGGTTATTAAGGGGGACCAAAAAAAGACCACAACACGTAACCTTCAGATTAAAGCGGAGATTAACTTTCCACCAAGAGAGAATGTGCCACCCTCCAAGGAGAGCACTCCATCACCCCCCCCCGAAGGAGAAATATCCCTAAGGTGACCCCACCAGACGTATGGGACAAAATGAGATACCTAGATGAAACAGAATTGGGCCAAAATCAGGCCGCAACAGAATATCCACAGAAGGAATTTTGCATAATAAAGATCCGGTGTTCACAAACGTGAGCACTTTGCATCCACCTATTGAAATCATAGAACGGCTGGATAGCCCGACATACAAAGACGATAGGCGACCGATACATAAAGCGACAAACCCTAAAATTGCGTTAGCTAATAGTTGACAAAGACTCGCCTGTGATAAAGCCAATCTTAAATTTTTATCATGGAACATTGCTGGTTGGCTCAACAAGGCGACTGACCAATCATTTGTCAATTTTATTTAAGATCATGATATAGTCTTCCTGCAAGAGACCTGGCTAACAGGGGATTTAGATGTAAATGGCTTTGCCTCATTTTCGCTCGCAGGTTCACCAAGCAACAAAGGGGGACGAGTTAAGGGTGGGCTAGGCATTCTAATATCCACAAGGCTGAGAGCATCTTTCGTCGAGCTGGAGCCTCTGAGCAGTGTGGCCATGGCACTATTAATGAAATGCAGATATTGCACACTTCTATTGATTAATATATATGCCCCTCCCCAAAGAGGCAAGCAGCTTATCAAAAATACCTGGCATAGGCTAGAATCATATGTCGATGAGCTAATGAATCAAACTCCTGCAGCGGCAGTGCTGCTGGCTGGGGATTTAAATGCCAGAATTGGCCAATCAGACGAAGCGTTATATGCTCATTTCCATGATGTACCTCCCATTTCTGAAGAAGCCCATTCTATTCCCCCAAGGCTCTCAAAAGACAAGGGCTGCAACTACGCAGGCCTATGCCTTCTACGTTTTTCCAACAATCTGGATCTGACTGTATTAAATGGTCGTGTCGACAGAGAACCCAGTGGGGAATTTACATTTATATCCAACATGGGAGCCTCCACTATCGATTACGTCCTGGTGTCATCTAACCTTTTGAGCACAGCACGGGAATGTAAAGTGGTGGAGAGGGTTGACAGCGACCATCTACTGCTCTGTTTAATACTGGATGTAAGAAAAGAATTATTTTGCACTGATAAACTTGTAGCCCCATGTTTCGAAAACATGGAGCTAAGATACTCACGTATTAAATGGTCCAGCAAATTGAGTGATGAAATATCAGAAAGACTTCACTCAGATACTTTTCTTGCTAGAAAGGAGAACCTCCTTAATTCCCCAACTCCTGAGGCTAGATTAGACATGTTCCGGGAACTGATTTCGTCCCTATAACCTTATCTGACCAACAAAAAAAAAACGCCACGGCAATCTCTACACTCCAATAAATCCAAACCTTGGTTTGACCAAGAATGCATGGCTATGAAACGCCTCCTGCTGGATAAGTACAGGAACTATAGATCAGCGAACTTGCCTTCGCTTCCATTAGACTGGTTTGAGCTAAAACAGTTATAAAGCTTTGATTAACAAGAAAAAGCTCCAGGCACAAAGGGAGGAATGGCAGTGCCTAGTGGAGGGCTCCCAAAGAAAAGATTCTGCCACGTTTTGGAAAACAATTGCAAAAAGCTGGAGTGACTCCCCGACTGAAATCGAATACTCTATATCCGCTGGAGCATGGGAGGCCTATTTCCTCTCATTATATTCATCAAATCAACTGGTCCCAGTTCTGCTTCCTGCTTCAAGTGAATATGGCAAGGAATGGCCCCCTGTAACCACAGAAGAAATTATTGGCCTTATTCAATCTCTTAAATCAGGGAAAGCCCCGGGTGCTGACAATATCCCACCAGAAATTCTTAAGGCAAATGTTGAATGGTGGGCCCCTGTGCTAGCCGCCTTGTTCACTAGTATAAATCAAGCGGCTATTATCCCCGAGGGCTGGGGTTTAGCCATCATCATTCCAATATTCAAGAAAGGAAACAGAACTGAGCCAGCTAACTATAGACCAATCAGTCTATTAAGTATTATTAGCAAACTGTACGCTGCTCATTTATGTGATAAATTAGTGGAGTGGATGGAAAGAGAGCATATTCTATCAGAAGCTCAAGCTGGTTTTAGAGCAAAGCGTTCAACTATAGACCAGGCCCTTATCCTTCAACACCTGGCAGACAAATACTCTAGAAAAGGGGGGTCTTTATATGCAGCTTTTGTGGATTTTAAATCGGCTTTTGATCTGATACCAAGGGACAGACTCTGGGAAAAGCGTGGCGCTACAAACATAGACAAGCGCTTATTACGCCTTATCCGTGGTCTATACGAAAACACCAGGGTGAGGGTAAGATGCGACCGGTCAGGCCATCTAACTAAAGAAATTCAAACGCACTATGGGGTTAAACAAGGATGTGTCCTCGCGCCAATGCTATTTAATTTCTATATCAACTCTTTAGCAGTAAATATGGCGAAAGAAAATGCCCACCCTCCCAAACTGGCAGGTATGCCCCTCCCGGTGCTTCTGTATGCGGACGACGCAGTCCTGCTCTCCTTTTCCTGCGTTGGCTTGAGGAAGCTTTTGAGATCACTTGCTGACTACTGTCAAGCGGAACAACTATCAATAAATTACAGCAAATCTAAAATCATGGTGTTTTAAAAAAAAGGAAGGAAACACAAATGGAGAATTAATGGTCAACCTATTGACCAGATAGCAACTTTCAAATACCTGGCAATAACTTTTCAGGAAAGGGTCTCGTGGCACCAACAGATGAAAAACGCCATTGCCAACGCAGGAAGGGCCAATAAAGCCCTTACAAGATTTTTTCACGGGAAAGGGGGTAAATACGTTCCGGCGGCCTCCCAGGTTTTCGCTGCAAAAATACTCCCACAACTCACTTATGGATCCCAGGTTTGCAGTTTTAAAAATTTTGCGCCTATGGAGGCATTTCAAACAAAATTCTATCGGTGTTTATTGGGGATCCCCCCCCTGTGTATCTAATATAGCTGTCCGCTTAGAAGTTGGACAACCACCCGTTAACGCGCGGCTGTGGATTCTAAAGATACACTACTGGTTAAAACTTATTTTTCCCCCGGCCGGTTTGGCTCCTTTAACACTCTTAGACACCTTTCATTCTACCTGGAAAGCTTCCCTGTTTGAAAAGATAAGAAGCTTGGGATTCTCCCCGCAGATCTTGATAGCGGCAGGATATGAGAGAGCCATAAGTCAAGTGCTCCAACGCATTAGGGACATAGAGCTGCAATGTCATATGGGCAAAATGGACAAACATGCCACAATTAGAGACTTTGGGAGAGGGTTCTCACCCGCAAATTATCTGGCTGATTTACAAATACCTAAGTACAGACACTCCTTCACCCTGGCCAGATTTAACGTTCTGCCCTCTGCCCTGCTGCTAGACAGATATGAGGGCAAACCATATGAGTCACGTGTTTGCCAATGTGGCTCATCGGAAGTGGAAACAAGTCAGCATGTATTGCTGCACTGTAGTTACTATGAGGATCTACGCCTGACCTTTATTGCCCCAGTTCTACAAAAGCTTAAAAATGAACCAGAACTCCAACGTATGAGAGCCTTGGTAGAAGATAAGGTTCCTGAAATTACTATCAGTGTTGCCAAATTCTGTGTAGCTGCTATTAGGCGCAGGAAACAAGAGCTTTCCAATGTCAATATGCAGGCGAAGGCAAATAATTAATTTTATTTATGCTGTTTAATTTTAAATTGCTGTTATGGCCTAATCTGTATTGAAATTGTCCTTTGTTTTTTCCGGTGTTATGTTTCGCTGACTAGCTGTACGAGTTAATCTGGTCTGTGACCGTTTAATAAAATTTGATTTGATTTGATCTCGTATGAGGAAAGGGATTTAATATGCCTTCTTCCCCACCCCCAGTAGATTAGGAAAGAAGATTAGTAAAAGAAGAAGCAGAATTGGATGAACATTAAAAGACACAATAATTTTGGACTGTGGCTTGACTGAGATTTGTTGGAACAGTTTTAATAAGGCTTTATAGAAACTGGACCTAGAAACTGGAGAAATACTAATTTGCATTACAGTGGTACCTCGGGGTAAGTACTTAATTCGTTCCGGAGGTCCGTTCTGAACCTGAAACTGTTCTTAAACTGAAGCACCACTTTAGCTAATAGGGGCCTCCTGCTGCCGCTGCGCCGCCGGACCACCATTTCTGTTCTCATCCTGAAGCAAAGTTCTTAACCCGAGGAACTATTTCTGGGTTAGCGGAGTCTGTAGCCTGAAGCGTATGTAACCTGAAGCGTATGTAGCCCGAGGTACCACTGTATTAGATGATCACTGTCTGAGTGGTTAAGATTTGAAGGCTGGGCTGTGCGGGCACAATGTAGGAAAAGTGCCATCTTGCTGAAGGTTACTGGATACTAAATACTGGATACTAAATACAGCTGGGTTTATCCTGGAGAGCATATTCTGAATAATTATTGCTACAGAGGAATGATCACTCAGGGTGGGAGACGAGGAGAAGGGGGGCACCCAGGGGAGAGCTGGGGGAGCCTACCTTTCTATGTGTTGACAAATGATATGATATATATGATACAAATGTGATAAAGGGTATTTTTAGTTATTCTCCCCCGCCCTTTCTCTTTTCTATACAAATATGTTTTGTAAAGGTTGTTTAATAATGTTTGCGTTATTGTTTTTCTTTTGGTTTTCCCTCTGTATGAATTCTTTGATGGGAAGTGAGTATATTTTTCCAATTGAAGCTCTTTCCACATTCCAAGCACTGATATGGTTTCTGACCTGTATGAGTTCTTTGATGGGTCATGAGATAGGAACTGTGACTAAAGCTCTTTCCACACTCATGGCATTGAAAGGGTTTCTCCCCTGTGTGAATTCTTTGATGGGAAGTGAGCTTGGCCCCCTCCCAGAAGCTCTTTCCACATTCCAAACACTTATATGGTTTCTCCCCTTTATGAATTCTTTGATGTAAAATGAGATTGGAACTATGACGAAAGCTCTTTCCACACTCATGGCATTGAAAGGGTTTCTCCCCTGTATGAATTCTTTGATGGGAAGTGAGCTTGGCTCGCTCCCGGAAGCGCTTTCCACATTCCAAACACTGATATGGTTTCTCCCCTTTATGAATTCTTTGATGGAAAGTGAGAGTGTAACGGTGACGAAAGCTCTTTCCACACTTATGGCATTGAAAAGGTTTCTCCCCTGTATGAATTCTTTGATGGAAAGTGAGAGTGGAACATTGACGAAAGCTCTTTCCACACTTATGGCATTGAAAGGGTTTATCCCCTGTATGAATTCTTTGATGGGAAGTGAGAGTGGAACGGTGACTAAAGCTCTTTCCACACTCATGGCATTCAAAGGGTTTATCCCCTGTATGAATTCTTTGATGGGTAGTGAGATGGATCACCCGGCTGAAGCTTTTCCCACATTCCAAACACTGATGTGGTTTCTCCCCTGTATGAATTCTTTGATGGGAAGTGAGACTACTACTCAGACGAAAGCTCTTTCCACATTCGAAGCACTGATAGGGTTTCTCCCCCGTATGAACTTTTCGATGCGAAGTAAGACTCTGCCTGTAACGGAAGCTCTTTCCACATTCCAGGCATGGATATGGTTTCTCCCCTGTATGAATTCTGTGATGGGAAGTGAGCTGCACCCTCTCACTGAAGCTCTTTCCACATTCTAAGCACTGGTAGGGTTTCTCCCCTGTATGAACTCTTTTATGCTTTGTGAGCTTGGTCCTCTCCCGGAAGCTCTTTCCACATTCCAAGCACTGATAGGGTTTCTCCCCTGTATGGACTCTTTGATGTAAAGTGAGGTCACCTCTCTGACGAAAGCTCTTTCCACATTCTAAGCACTGATAGGGTTTCTCCCCTGTATGGACTCTTTGATGAGAAGTTAGACGGGAACTTTGACTGAAACTCTTTCCGCATTCTAAGCACTGATAGGGTTTCTCCCCTGTATGAATTCTGTTATGGGAAGTGAGACTCTGTCTGTGACTGAAGCTCTTTCCACATTCTAAGCACCGATAGGGTTTCTCCCCTGTATGGACTCTTTGATGGGATGTGAGGTTGGTCCCCTCCCTGAAGCTCTTTCCGCATTCTAAGCACTGATAGGGTTTCTCCCCTGTATGAATTCTTTGATGGGTAGTGAGCCCGGAACTGTGACGAAAGCTCTTTCCACATTTGAAGCACTGATAGGGTTTCTCCCCTGTATGAACTTTTTGATGCAAAGTAAGACTCTTCCTGTAACGGAAGCTCTTTCCACATTCCAGGCATGGATATGGTTTCTCCCCTGTATGAATTCTGTGATGGGAAGTGAGCTGCACCCTCTCACTGAAGCTCTTTCCACATTCTAAGCACTGGTAGGGTTTCTCCCCTGTATGGACTCTTTTATGCTTTGTGAGCTTGGTCCTCTCCCGGAAGCTCTTTCCACATTCCAAGCACTGATAGGGTTTCTCCCCTGTATGGACTCTTTGATGGTATGTGAGGTTGGTCCTCTCCCGGAAGCTCTTTCCACATTCCAGGCATGGATATGGTTTCTCCCCTGTATGAATTCTTTGATGTCTAGTGAGAGTGCTCTTCCGACTGAAGCTCTTTCCACATTTCAAGCATTTATGGGGGTTTTCCCTGGTATGATTTGGTTGATGCAAAGTGAGACCCTGCCTGTGCCTGAAGCTATTCCCACACTCCAAACGCTGATAAGGTTTCTCCGTTGTATGAATTCTTTGATGGGAAGTGAGCTTGTACCCCTCCCGGAAGCTCTTTCCACATTCCAAACACTTATATGGTTTCTCCCCTTTATGAATTCTGTTATGGGAAGTGAGATTTTGTCTGTGACTGAAGCTCTTTCCACATTCTAAGCACTGATAGGGTTTCTCCCCTGTATGAATTCTGTTATGGGAAGTGAGACTCTGTCTGGTACTGAAGCTCTTCCCACATTTCAAGCACTGATAGCCTTTCTCCCCTGTATGGACTCTTTGATGGGAAGTTAGATTGGAACTTTGAGTGAAGCTCTTTCCGCATTCTAAGCACTGATAGGGTTTCTCCCCTGTATGAATTCTTTGATGGGTAGTGAGATGGATCGCCTGGCTGAAGCTTTTTCCACATTCCAAGCACTGATGTGGTTTCTCCCCTGTATGAATTCTTTGATGGAAAGTGAGCCCGGCCCCATTCTGGAAGCTCTTTCCACATTCGAAGCACTGATAGGGTTTCTCCCCCGTATGAACTTTTCGATGGGAAGTTAGATGGGAACGTTGACTGAAGCTCTTTCCACATTCCAAGCACGGATAGGGTTTCTCCCCTGTATGAATTCTGTGATGTGAAGTGAGACTATCCTTCCGAGTGAAGCTCTTTCCACATTCCAAGCACTGATACAATTTCTCTCCACTGTGAGTTCTTTTGTGTGAATTAAGGCTATCCCTCCAAATGAAGCTCTTTCTTTGATGGGAGGTGGACTGGGAGCTCTGATGGATGTTCTCTCCACACCCTGAATATTTAGTTGACTTCTCCACAATGTGGATACTGTTGTGGTCCCCCTTGTTCTTCCCTTCCAATTGATCACCATCTGCAATCAAGGGAGAGAGAAGCTAATTAGAGCCTCGGGAAGAACAAAGTTAATGAATGCTTGTGATAGAGGAAGAACTGAAGAGAGTTAGATGTGTTTAGCCTGAATTAGGCCTTGAGTCACTTGAGCTACTAGCCTCAATGCCAGAGCTGACTTAGCAGTTGAGCTGCTCAAATATGGTCGCAACATGTGGCTAATTAATATAGCTAATGTGCTATTATTAGTAGTTGATTGTCATCTAAAATTTACAAATCATAAACTTATATATATATATATATCAGTCCATAACCAAGTACTCAATGGAATGGAATGCTGGTGGGGAACACCATGATGTCTTTCATTTTTTTAAAATACATTTTTATTAAGGTTTTACAAGTTTTTAAACAGACATAAAAAGCACAAATAAACATCACTCAAAAAAAGAAAAAAAAGGACAAGTATAATTCCAGATCCTTATTTTCTTACCATCTTTCCCTGACTTCCCCACACCTCCCCTTTCTTGTATTCCAATTCCAATAATTAACTCAGCAAGTTCTTATCCCCATCATTTACCTTATTATTTTTATATTTGATTCATCTTAGTTATCCAATTTTAAACTTATAACCCTCATTTTAAACAACAATATTCATTCTTAACATCTGTTTCTAAGGTCGACCCACGTTCCCTTCCACGAATTTCCCAATTTTTATAATGATTACCAAATAAAGATAGAAAAGAAAGATGACATATAAATATACACCCTTTGGGTTCCCAAGCTCATATCCCCCCTTCCCGGTTTCGATCCCCAAAAAGAAATGTCCATTAATCTATAAATCTAGCCTGGAGATCTTGTATCCGAGGCTCTCAAGTCCCTCTCAGTCCCTCTCTGCCGGTTTTTTTTGTAGTCCTTTATATTAAACGTCAAGTCACGGAAAAGCTCCATTCCATTAAAGTCTATGTTTCTTCGAGCAAGACCTCCATATTCAAAAGTGGAGCCTAAATCTTGTTTCTTCTTTCTTTTAAATCCAAATGTCCCAAATGTCTCGACAGCTCCAACTTTCACCTTGGTCAAATTTGTAATCCCTGGGTCTTCAGATCTCCCCTTAGGGAGATCCTTCCATTCTTCATTTTCTATTTTCTTTATAACCATCTTAGCAGGCCTCAAGCTCTCCTTTGTCTTCTGCGACATTTCAGCTTCTCCTTCCCATTCCTCTAAAACAAAACATATCTCTTCTTGTTCAGCTGCAAATGTATCTTGAGTCAAGTCCTTGACAGATTCAGCAAGATTGTTTACATTTACTTTCAAAGTTGTAGCATTTGTAGCCAAAGCTTCATTCTGACCTTGTAACTTTCCCATGAGAAGAAACATTCTATCCAGCTCAGCCTGTATTTTTCCATCTGAAGCCATTGTAATGTCCAGAACCTCTAGAGGGATTCTGATTGCTTATTATTTTTTCCAACTCCAGTCCAACAGTCCAATTTTTTCGTTTCTAATTTAAAGTCAATTTGTATCAAGAATAACCAGCAAAGATAGCAAAAAAGGAATTTTCTTCTATTTTCTTCTTTCCAGCTTTGACAGCTGGTTTGACAGCTGTCAAACTCTTTATGTCTCCTCAACAGGCTCTCTCTCAGATCACTCCCGGGTCCCGGGGGGTTGCACCTTAGTTCTTAAAAACAACTCTTATCCTCCAGCAAGTTTGCTTATAATGCCAAATTGTGAAATTTGTAACTTTTATCCAATAAGGAGAAGAATGTTCTCTCGACCTTAGTTATAAAATTCTTGCTTTAATTTGTCCACAGGGTTTGGAGGCGGACTTCCTTTTAGCACTCCCCCCGATCGTGCCCAATTCAAAAGAAAAAATTTTAGTTCCAATTTCCGTACTACTCACGGGTTGTTGCTTTTTACCATGATGTATTTCAAAGGATGATGTCCAAGACATTCGGATTGAATCAACTATTTCGAAGATGAACCTTCATCAGCTGATGATGAAATTGAATACATTACATATAATGAATGACAACAAAAATAATACTGAGCAACCTGCATATTAAATAAAGAATAAAGAATAAAAAATTCATACCAAATAATTTTAGACAGCATTTCCAAGCAGCCCTATTGCTTCTAATACACTACTAAGATGTTCCCCTAAAGATAATACCACATCATCTGCAGATGACTTCAGTCTGTCATTTTGTTGCCCCACCCTCACCTCCTTTTATATCTGGAGTTTTCCTTATTCTTGATAATACATAGATAAATGTCACCTTCTGTATCTTACATTGCTCTAAGACAGTATTATTCACAATCATGCTTGCCATGTGTCAGTATAGATTGTCTTATTTCCCTTTAGAAAAGTCTCTCCAATCCCTGGCTCCTCCAGGAGGGAGTTCCAGTTTTACCTACGCACTGTGAAAGTTATAAGTTTAACGTAAATAAAGCACTCTGCAATGGAGACAAGACTGGTGTTCCTCCTTTGGGAAGGGATGGGCGAACTGGGGACTCCAAAGCCTATAGGCTTGTTTTCTAATAGCAGCAGCAGCTGCAGAGAAACTCCAGGATGGGGAACATCCTTGAAAGCTCACGCTGGGATCCGATAGAGAAAAGTTTCTTTTAATTTCCTGCCAATTTTTTTCATAATTGTCTTTAAAAATATTTATATATTTTTGCAGTTATCCAAACTCCTAAATATGTTACTTTTTTTATATGCCTCTATCCCTACCATCTCTGTGTGAAATATTGCTCAGGGTGAAGGCCCTGCAGGCTTCCGTGGCGCCTCTCTGTTTCTTCGGATCTCTGAGAACAGTAGAGTAAACACAGCAAATTGGCCTTCTGTCCTCTGTGGCTTGCATAGTGTGCATAAATCAAGAGCTCACTCAGCTTCTTTCTATTCTAGAAGCTTTATTTTAAAAGCAGTAGAAATCAGCCAGTGTCCGGCAGGAAAAACATCTGCGGCTCGGACAAAAACGAAAGCAGAATACAGAACAAAGAAACAGATCCCGAATGTAGGATCTCTCCGCCCCTCAGAGGCAGGACAATGGAACTGAGCCGTTTAACCCTGTAAGCTCTGGTTCCCCTCACACCCCCTCTCGTCCTGTGCTGCTGGGGGGCTTGTAAGTACCACCACTTACCCCAAAACCAAACCTTCACACAACTCACCATGATGCTAGAAGCTCAAAGGTTTCGTGAACCTATCTGCCAGGTTCTTATGGCTTGGACAGCACTGCAACTTCAGCAAGCCTGATTGGACACTCTGACACACATTCTGGGAACATATGTCCAGATGTTTGGTTCTGGCCTTAAATTGCCCAGACTATGCCAACTTCAGACAGGGCTGATTGTCCTCCCAAACAGTGCTGGGCAAGCAACACTCCCCGCAGATTTTTTGAACCAGACAGCTGTAGAACTCCAGTTCCTGGCACAGCTCTCAAAGTGCACTGAACTCAGCTTCAGTAGAGGACAGCGCAATGAGACACTGCTTCCGGAACTTCCACCCAACTAGAGATTCCCCAAACTTTATGACCATCCCAGATATGGACTTCCTGTCATCCAGATTCGCCCACTCGCTATCTGTCCAGGACGTGAGCTTGGGGTCACCTGTAGCTGACAGTTTGAGATGGAAGTCTTTGGTATCCTGCAGGTACACTGGGCTTTGTAGCTTCCCTGCTGAGCAGATTGGTAGCAAAAGCAATGCCTGGCCTGCTCCACTGGGACAGATACAATAGACTAACCAGAGCTTACTGAAAGACCTCAGCGTTCTCGAACTCAGCACATTCTGCTAGCTGACTGTCTTTCATGTAGCCTGTCTCCATGGGGGTCCTAACCCCTGCACAATCAGAGATCCTGAACTTCTCAAACTGCTCAATCTTGCCTTTCTGACTGAGCAAGAAACTTCCATCTTCAGGCCTATCTGTACACACAGGTAAATCTTTACTGCACCCAGATTCTTGAGTTGGAAATGTTTTCCAAGCTCTTTGGAAAACTTCTGCACCTGTTTGTCTGCCCGTGAAACATGAATGATGTCGTCAACAAAGACCAAGACCAGTTATTGTGACTCTCCAGGCCCCTCGAGGTACAGGCAGCTGTCAGCAAGACTCTTCTTGCAACCTAACTTCTCTAAGGCTTCATTCCAACACAAGTCTCAATTCCTTGGTGATTGTTTTAGCCGGTAAATTGACTTGTGCAGTTTCCACACAGTTCCTGGCCCATTGCCCTCAAACCCTGGAGGAGGAAGAATGCACAGATCCTCCTGGAGGTCTGTTAAAATAGGCCATATCCACATCAAAGTGATGCACCGGAAAACCTCTTTGTGCAACAATGGCTAAGAGCATGCGCAGAGTTTCACTTCTGGAAGTGGGAGCATATACCTCAGTGTAATGCAGCCCCTTCCTCTGCGTGAACCCTCTGGCTACTAGTCTAGCCTTGTACTGTGGTTCTCCAATTGCTGTGGGTTTAAGACGGTAAGCCCAGCGACTGCTCACACCTTGTTTGCCCGCTGGCAACGTCATGAGGGAGAACACACCTAGAGACTCCATTGAGCTCATCTCCTTCTGCATTGCCTCATGCCATTTCCTGGCTTCATCCTGAGGCGGTTTCTGAACATTCTCAAAACTCTCAGGTTCACATTGAGCCATACCTACCCACACATTTGGGACTGCGGCCTGGGAATCTGATTCAGACGCTGAACCTGAGGAATCCCAGCCTGCACAGGAGTCCCCGCCTCCAGGGCCAGCTGAGCCGGGGCAGGGGCTTGAAACTGAAGGGCCCGCTCCTGTGCCGGATCCTCAGGAGCAGACACCAGATGAATCCCCTCTGGCTCTGGAGGTGATTGAGGACCCATTGCCTGCAGGTGCTCCTCTCCCAGCTCTGTCAGGGAAAGGTGAGGTGGCCTCTGGGTCCACTAACCCTCCAGCCTCTCCTGAGCTGCAGAGGCTCAGGGCAGAGAAGCGGAGGGAACTAAGTTCTCTCAGGAGGAGTGCTCGCCTTAAGGCCAGGAGAGGCGAGTCACCTGTGGGCCGGGACTGCCCTAGGCCTCAGAGGAGATAAAGGCCAGTCAGCCCAGTCCAAGGTTGCGGGAGCAACATCGCTGGAAACCTGTTCCTGCCAGCACCCTGACCTGCTCTTCCAGTTCCTGACCACGCCCAGCTCCTTGCCTTGGACCTCACTTCGCCCCTGATGGACAGCCTCCAGACCCTCGACCCAGGACCGGACTCAGACCACGCCGCATGGTAAACCCCCCCCCCAGGACCAGCACATGTAACAATACATTCAAACTTAGAGAATTATAAAAGTTCCACAATATCCAAGAGAGAGAGAGAAAAGGAGGGCAAAATCACCTTTATATACAATCGACAAAAAATAAAAAAAGCAGGCCACAACAAAAGTCTAACAGTTACCATTGTTCAAACTTACTGTTACATTGTCTCCTTGATTTTGATTAGCACTTGCCAAGCTTCTAGTTATATTATAATCCACAATGTGTCTTGTAATCCAAAATATTTCCACTGTGAGTCCAAAAATTTTCCAGACGTATTTATAATTCAAATTAGATTTGTAATCCAAATGGTAATTGTAATCCAATATACTGTAGATTCCAGTGCATAAGGCGACTTTGAACTCCAGAAAATCTTCTCCAAAGTCGGGGGTCGCCTTATACGATGGGTTTGGGTGGCGCGGAGCTGAGCCCGCCCCCTGTTGCTGCCCAGTGTATTAGGCAACTGGGCTTATAAAACGAACTCCCAAATTGCAGCTGTCAAATTGGGGGGTCGTCTAATAAGCCCAGTCGCCCAATACGCCGGAAGCTACGGTATATATGCTATTTCACTCAATTTTTATTCCAATACAGGCTCCCCCGTCCCCGCTTTCTCCTACTAAGGCTCTTACCAGGGACTTCCCCTCCATGGGATTACCACCCAGTTAGAATCATAGAGTTGGAAGAGACCACAAGGGCCATCGAGTCCAACCCCCTGCCAAGCAGGAAACGCCATCAGAGCACTCCTGACATATGGTTGTCAAGCCTCTGCTTAAAGACCTCCAAAGAAGGAGACTCCACCACACTCCTTGGCAGCAAATTCCACTGTCGAACAGCTCTTACTGTCAGGAAGTTCTTCCTAATGTTTAGGTGGAATCTTCTTTCTTGTAGTTTGGATCCATTGCTCCGTGTCCGCTTCTCTGGAGCAGCAGAAAACAACCTTTCTCCCTCCTCTATGTGACATCCTTTTATGTATTTGAACATGGCTATCATATCACCCCTTAACCTCCTCTTCTCTAGGCTAAACATGCCAGGCTCCCTTAGCCGTTCCTCATAAGGCATCGTTTCCAGGCCTTTGACCATTTTGGTTGCCCTCCTCTGGACACATTCCAGTTTGTCAGTGTCCTTCTTGAATTGTGGTGCCCAGAACTGGACACAGTACTCCAGGTGAGGTCTGACTAGAGCAGAATACAGTGGCACTATTACTTCCCTTGATCTAGATGCTATACTCCTATTGATGCAGCCCAGAATTGCATTGGCTTTTTTAGCTGCCGCGTCACACTGTTGGTTCATGTCAAGTTTGTGGTCAACCAAGACTCCTAGATCCTTTTCACATGTACTGCTCTCAAGCCAGGTGTCACCCATCTTGTATTTGTGCCTCTCATTTTTTTTGCCCAAGTGCAATACTTTACATTTCTCCCTGTTAAAATTCATCTTGTTTGTTTTGGCCCAGTTCTCTAATCTGTCAAGGTCGTTTTGAAGTGTGATCCTGTCCTCTGGGGTGTTAGCCACCCCTCCCAGTTTGGTGTCATCTGCAAATTTGATCAGGATGCCCTTGAGTCCATCATCCAAGTCGTTGATAAAGATGTTGAATAAGACTGGGCCCAAGACAGAACCCTGTAGCACCCCACTAGTCACTCTTCTCCAGGATGAAGAGGAACCATTGATGAGCACCCTTTGGGTTCGGTCAGTCAGCCAGTTACAAATCCACTGAGTGGTAGCATAGTCAAGACCGCATTTTACCAGCTTCTTTACAAGGATATCATGGGGCACCTTGTCAAATGCCTTGCTGAAATCAAGGTAGGCTACATCCACTGCGTTCCCTTCATCTACAAGGCTTATAATTCTGTCAAAAAACGAGATCAGGTTAGTCTGACATGACTTATTTTTCAGAAATCCATGCTGACTATTGGTGATCACAGCATTCCTTTCTAGGCGCTCACAGACTGTTTGCTTAATGATCTGCTCCAGAATCTTCCCTGGTATTGATGTCAGACTGACTGGCCGGTAATTATTTGGGTCCTCTCTTTTCCCCTTTTTGAAAATAGCGACAACATTTGCCCTCCTCCCGTCTGCCGGGACTTCGCCTGTTCTCCAGGAATTCTCAAAGATGACTGCCAGTGGTTCTGAGATCACATCTGCCAGTTATTTTAATACTCTTGGATGCAGTTCATCTGGCCCTGGAGACTTGAATACATCTAAACTAGCCAAGTATTCTTGTACTATCTCCTTAGTTATTCTGGGCTGTGTTTCTTTTGCTGAATCATTTGCTCCAAGCTATGGAAGTGTCCTCCTGCCAAGCTTTGGTAGAACTTGCCAAGATCCAGGGTCCTTTTTAGAGGTTTTTTAAAAAAGAATTTGCAATGTTTTCAAGCCTTTCAGTGCTTTCATTCATAAAATCTGCATCCCCATTCAAAAAAACAGAGTACTCCAATCATTCCTGTATCTTCCTTTTTAGGAATCAAAGAACAAAGAGCTACAGTTTCTTCTTGTATCCAGAGTACATAGTGCTAATAGGTAGCAAAGTAACAAAGTGCAGTTTAAAAAGTATCTAAAGACTGATGTGTCTCCAAAGTTTTTTTTCCCATTCACAGGCCTGTACTGCAAAATCTTCCCTTCAAAATACGGAAGCTGACTTCCTGTTTAGATTCAGTCTTTGACAAATCTAAATTAAATCCATTTTTTTTTATTTTGAAAAGTCCATTGTTGCTGACAATAGCTTTTTTCCTTTGAAAGTCTGCTGCTTCAGGTGGTGATTTGTGGTTTCAGGTTTTTGAGCTGCGCTGGAGCCATGGGCAGGCTCAAGCCACTGTCTCTCTCTCTCACACCCACACACACACTTGCTGCCGATGCAGCGTTGGGGCTCCGGTAATCGCGGCAAGCCTCTTCACGCCCGGCTGGTCCCCTCGACACCCCACTACCCTTGGAGCTTTTGGGGGGGTGTCTAACCCTGGCACTCACCCCCACTGCTCAAAAGCCCCGGTAACGGTTGTCATCTAGACGGACGACTCACACTGCAGCGCCATTTCCCTTCTCAGAGAAATCGGAAGCCCAGAATCAGGTTACTTTCAAGAGTCGTGACTTCTAGTGCTGCCTGATGGATCGGTAAGTTGTCTGACATTGGTAGAGCATTCAATCACGGTACAGGTTTTAGACATTTTGAGCTGCCAATACATTATGGTGGCCGGGGAGCTGTGATGTATTCCTAGCTCAAATTGCCTGCAGATGACAAAGGCGCAGGCAGGCAGGTGGAGGAGCCCAAAATGGTGCCCCCCCCGAGCAAGCCCCAATACCTCTCTGGCTCCATCCATCCATGTCCCCATCTCCCCTCCCCTGGAACTCACCAGATCTCTTGGAGGTCCCTGGGAGGAAATGCTCAGAGGCTGTGAGGAGGGATGCAGGAGACAACCTGACCAGGTCAACTGTCCATCTTCCCCCTTCCATCCTCGCTAGGTTTACAGGTTCAGTCTCTTTCATCCTTCCTGAGGAGTTGAGAAGCCACCACAAGCTGCAGGGTCCTGGGAGAGAGGAAGAAACAAAGGGAGCCTGAGAGGCCCTGCAGGGATTCTCTTGCCCTCCTCACCCCACATGCAAGCCTGGCATGGTCTGCACAGCAGTGACCTGAGAGTAGATCTATTGAACTCAGTGGGGATAATTGACAGAACTTGGTACAAAAACCAGTCACCGTCCTATCCCCAAGCCTGAAAACTGCAACCCCAGAGTATGGGCAGAAAATAGCAGAGTAGATATTACATGTAGGTGCCCCCATGCTAGGTGCTTTGTATGGAGAGCCCTGTTCATCTTTGAGCTCTCTCATCACAAGCCAAACAGATGGTGTAGCCGTATCCACCTCTGTCAAGAGTTGCATGGGGACCAAATCTGTATGTGGAAGCAGAGGAGCCGGTGATGCCACATTTTTGAAATACCAGGAAACTAATACACCCCTCCTCCTTAGATATCGTCTGTGCTTATACACCATCTTCGCAAGTCTCCAGTCCCAAAATGTGGCCCCCACCCTGGGACGGAAGCAATCAAAGTATAGATCTTCCACATGTTCTAAATCTGCAGTGTTCTTAAGAACACCAGGCACGTATATCCTCCAAAAACTCCAGAGGTGAGCTTTACGCTCCTCTTGTGATAAGATTCCCAAAGGCTATGGGTAGCTTGATAGAACTAGTCTACTTTGAGATAGCACCAATGTCTCCTTCCCTTTTTCATGTGATTTAACAAGAATCCCCTCCCCTAATGAGTCAGAAATCAAGGAAAAGCTGTGGATTTAAGACTGTGTGGAGATAAACTTTCGATCCAAAGCAATGTTTCAAGATGAAGCTGGAAAGCTAAGAGTTTTGGAATGACGCAGTTAAAAATGCCGTCGCCATTTTGGGAGGCATTGTTGGAGCTCTTGGGTCTCGGAGGAGAAAGAGAGAAATAGAGTTGTTTCCATATCGTGGATCAACTCCTCGGTGGGACTTATGAGCGACAAATGCCAAAATTTACGACGGAAAGAGCGATGTTATCTACGAAGGAGATATATGGAAACCATCTGGACTTAGTGGAGGAACGGGAAATCCACACAGGATTATTATACTTGCTATCGGCTTAAGGAGACTAACAGAAGAGATCATAAAGGAAAAAGAGAAATTATATGAATAAGATATGATGTGTAAACAACAAGATAAGACTGGATAGAATTATGAACTTTGTCTGGACTGATTGGGACTGATTTGGACATTAACGCAGTACTAAGAAGATGATCTGAATCCCCCTTTGGATCTTGAAGTATGGGTTCTCCCAACAAAATTTAAAAATTTGGCTTTGGAATTTGGAATTTATGCGATGTGGTTTAATTTGATGTGATTGGCCAGTTAATAAAAATTATTTTAAAAAACAAAAAACAAAGTTTTTTCCCATTCACAAGTCTGTATTGCAAAATCTTCCCTTCAAAATACGGAAGTTTACTTCCTGTTTAGATTCCGTCTTTGACAAATCAAAATCAAATCCAATTCTTTTTATTTTGAAAAGTCCATTGTTGTTGACAATACCTTTTTTCCTTTGAAAGTCTGCTGCTTCAGGTGGCGATTTCTGGTTTCGGGTTTCTGAGCTGCGCTGGAGCCATGGGCAGGCTCAAGCCACTGTCACACACACACACACACACACCCCCCACGCGCTGCCGATGCAGTGTTGGGGCTCCGGCAATCGCATCAAGCCTCTTCATGCCCGGCTGGTCCCCTCAACACCCCACTACCGGTTTCAAGAGTCATGCCTTCCAGTGCTGCCCAATGGATTGGTAAGTTTTCTGGTAGAGCATTCAATCATGGTGCTGGTTTTAGACATTTTGAGCTGCCAATACATTGCGGTGGCCGGGGAGCTGTGATGTATTCCTAGCTCAAATTGCCTGCAGATGACAAAGGCGCAGGCAGGCAGGTGGAGGAGCCCCCCTGAGCAAGCCCCAATACATCTCTGGCTCCATCCATCCATATCCCCATCTCCCCTCCCCTGGAACTCACCAGATCTCTCTGAGGTCCCTGGGAGGGAACGCTCAGAGGTTGTGAGGAGGGATGCAGGAGACAACCTGACCAGGTCAACCGTCCATCTTCCCCCTTCCATCCTTCCACGCTTTGCAGGATCTGTCTCTTCCTTCCTTCCTGAGGAGTTGAGAAGCCACAACAAGCTGCAGGGTTCTGGGAGAGAGGAAGGAGCAAGATTCCCAAATCTTAGGGTAGCTTGATAGAACTAGTCTATTTTGAGATAGTACCAATGTCCCGTTAGTAGTAGGAGCCACACAATGACTGATAATCCCTCTTTTGTCCCAGAAGGTGGGGAGTAGGTGTCTTTTATCCTTGCTTTATTCTTCTTGATAATACATAAATAAATGTCCCCTACTGTATCTTACATTTTTCTAAGAGAGTATTATTCACAATCATGCTTGCCATATATTCCGTATAGATTGTCTTAGTTCCCTTTAGAAAAGTCTGTCCAATCCCTGGCTCCTGCGGGTTGGAGTTCCAGTTTTACCTACGCACTGTGAAAATTATAAGTTTAATGTAAATAAAACATTCTGCAATAGCAGCAGCTGCAGAGAAACTCCAGGATGGGGAACATCATTGAACGCTCACTCTGGGATCAGAGAGAGAAAATTTGGCAAACCTGCCACCCAGAGCCCCCTCCTTCTCCTCCCTGCATTGGCAAGCCCAGTGCAGCCAGCTCAGCCCTCTGGCTCTCCCCTTTTCTCCACGGAGGAGCCCCAGGCATGGCCCCTGCCCAGAGAGGCTTCCCCTGAGGCTCTGGGCTGGAGACCTGAGCTGATCTGGAGGAGGATCTGGCAGGGGGAAAGGCCGGCCTGGCAGGGGCTCCTCCACTGGAAGGGGGGCATTCTGGGCATGCCCTCCCCCCCGGACCCCTCCCTCCTTCCCCAAAGAGGATGCCAAGGAAGAGCAGAGCTGCAGACCCCCTGGAAACTGGCCCCCTCCCAGGCTTGGCAGAGAGGAATGGGGGGCAGGACCCTCTGCTCCCAGACTTGGGGGTCTCCCCCTGCAGGCCCGGGACCCCCTTCTCCCATGGGCACCCCAAGGGGGAAGAGAGAGGAGACTCACCCGATTCTTCCCAGGAGGGAAACCGAGGCAGCGCGGGGAGGAGACAAGAGACAGAAGACGGGACTGGGCACGGAGGGAGGGGATTCGGCTCTGGAGGACCCGCCCCGCCTCTCCACTTCCTGTCCTCTCTAGGACTCCGGCTCTGTTCCATTTAACCCTTCGCAAGCTGAGCACAGCCCCCTGGCTGGCTGGCTGTCCTCCTTCCCTCCCACAATCCGGGTGGTCCAGGGCATGTGCAGAGTTCTCTGTGATTCTCGGCTCAGAGGCCCTGAAGACAGCAGCTTTGTGCCCTGCCCCCAGGTGGGTGGGGTGTAAATAAAATAATATTAATAATTAAGGCGGGTGTTCCGCTTCCTAGAAACGGGGGCCCAATGTTCCCCTGGGTTTCTGCTCCTTCCCTGAGTTTTGTCCCCGTTCAATCCTTGGGACGCAGCCCTGCTTCCATCACAGATTCAGACCTGGGGGGGGGGTTCGTGAGCGAGGGGGCCCTTTTCCTCTGCTCTCCTCCCTCTCAGCCACTCCGGAGGGATTTCCAGTCGGTCTTGCGGACCCCGGGGATCCCCTCAGCCCTGGTGACTGTCTTGGGGGGGGTCTCCTTTTCCCCTCCTCACTGGAAGGACACTCCGCTTTCCTCCGCCTCCCCATAGCTTCTCCCGTTGAATTCCCGCCTGACTCCTCTCCCCAGACCCTCCTCTCCCAGTGGAGATTCTCCTCACCTTCCCCTCCAGGGTCCCGCCTCAGTCCCCCCCCCCTCCCAGTCCCCCCTTTCTCCCTCTCAGAAAACTCCCTCTGAAATAGCTCCTTTTATTTTCCCTCCAAAAGGGCTGGCTCCGCCCCTCGCTGTCTTGGGAGCCAATCAGAGCGAGGCTCCAGACCCAGCGAAGTTATTATGAGGGCCAACAGGCCTGGCTCCATGTACACACACACACACACACACACACACACACATTAAATGGAGAACATTTGAATAATAAAAACAAAGAAATAAAAAGGGGTGCTATAGGAATTTTAATGTCTTACATATATAAAATGTTCATAATTGTACAAGGCAAACACATACATAAATATATAAACCACATGTCTGGAAAAAGTACAGGAAAACAGTCCTAAAGTCATTTTGACTCTTTCAGGCACCTCAAATATTTCTCTGCAAAGAGGAAGGAAATGGAAAAGCCTCCCCACTGTCTCTTTATTCACAAATCCTGTCTGTGTATTAATAGGGTTGTGTCTGTGTATGAATAGGGTGAGCCTGTGAGCTGGATTCAGGAATTAAGTAGTTAACATCACAAAAGAGTTGTCAAATAGCCCAGGTAATGCAATCAGTGATCCAATATCCTGGCAGACAGGAGAAAAACAACACACTCAGATTTCTGCTGTAGACCACCCATTCTCTGATGTATGTATGATGTATGGGAGTCTTGGGCTCCAGGGCAGGCAATTTCAAATATCTATCTTCTTCTTTGGCGATCCCTCATAGCCGAGTAAGATTGCCTTCCATAAACACGGTTTTAACAATGAGTCCAGAAGTGATTGTGGAGGCCAATTCTGGATCCACATGTCATTCCACAGTGGGGACATTGGTTTCAGGGCGGGAGTTGATCATGGTATGGATTTGCCAAGCGTGCAACACGTTTCTCCCTTGAATCCTGAGTTTGAGTGTCTTCAAAGCCCACGACATCTTTGGTAAAGGCTGTTCTCCAATTGGAGCGCTCGCAGGCCTGTGTTTCCCAGTTGTCAGTGTTTATATTATATTTTTTTAGATTTGCCTTGAGACAGTCTTTAAACCTCTTTTGTGGACCACCAGCATTACGCTTTCCATTTTAAGTTTGGAATAGGGTAGTTGCTTTGGAAGACGATCATCAGGTATCCACACAACATGACCAGTCAGAGGAAGTTGATGTTGAAGAATCATTGCTTCAACACTGGTGATCTTTGCTTCTTCCAGTACACTGATATTAGTTCTTCCCAAGTGATGTGTTCTTCCCAAGTGATGTGTTAAAATTTTTCGGAGACACCGTTGATGGAATCTTTTGAGGAGTTGGAGATGGCATTTATAAGTGGTTTATATAAGGGCTTGCGCGTCATTGTTCGGGGTCCCTCCCGCCTCCTGCGTGGGGTTGTGAGCACCCTGTTGCAACAGTTAATAAAGATCAGGCTTACTAGCTGCTTTGCTTCTCAATATTCTCTGGTTGGCCTCTGTTATTTTCTCCCACCGATAGAGAACCTACAAAAGGACTCTATACGGGTTCTTGGGTACCCCATAAGTGAAAAAGAGCAGTTGTTTTTTTGTTACTTATATCACCTTCTCTCGCTTCTCTTCTAGAACAATGCTCATTTTGCTTAAAAGCACCCCATGCACACCCCATCTTTTCTGAAATAGGGGCTGGTGGTAGAATCCACCCCTAACAGCAGAGAAAAGGCAGAGGGAGAGGTGCAGGTGGGTGGGCTGGTACCACGTAAAAGAGCTTTGCAGTTTGTTTGTTTACTTATGCTGGTGGTTTTCAATCTTTCTGAGTCCACCGCTCCCTTGACCAAGAGTAGTCTTTCTGCAGCTCCCCTGTGGGATAATGGGGGCAGGAATCCCCACTTACATTCAGGGCCACTGGGATGCACATGAGTGGCATGGGGGTAGGCAGGATTTTTGTGGGGGGGTTGTTTATGGAGACAGGCCTTTTTGGGGGGCAGAACCTCGATTAGCTATGTACTTTTATTGATTCCTGCCCACCTAGCAGTTTCCTGCCCACCTAGCAGTTCGAAAGCACCCCTGAGTGCAAGTAGATAAATAGGTACCGCTTTATAGCGGGAAGGTAAACGGTGTTTCCATGCGCTGGTGCTAGCTCGCCAGAGCAGCTTCGTCACACTGGCCACGTGACCCGGAAGTGTCTCCGGACAGCGCTGGCTCCCGGCCTCTTAAGCAAGATGAGCACGCAACCCCAGAGTCGGACACGATTGGCCCGTACGGGCAGGGGTACCTTTACCTTTTTTATTGATTTAGGGCTGGGCAGCTGCCTTTCCCAGCTCCCCCCCCCCCCGCTAGCCCCATGGACTCATTGGGGATTCTCCCGTTCTGCCCCCACCCATTTTCGGTATGGGGATGCCCCTGTTTTGTTTTTTTTACTAGTGCTTGCTAAATTTAAGTGCATGGAATTCTGGAAGCAGAAGGAACAAAACAGCAGGCAACGTTAGACCAAAACATTACTAGCAGTCATGGGAGAATGCCATCAGTGTTGACTGACACCTGCCTTGATTTTGCAGTTTTATATATTTGCCCTTCCAGCACTCTGCGTCTTTACCTCTTTGTCCTCTCTGGCAATCAGCCCTCCCCTTCCGGATTTCCCATCCATTGACGCTCCCCCCCCCAAGAGACTGCCTAACCATAGAGCTACGGCCACAGAGCAGCCTGTGGTCGGATGGGAACCAGAAGTGACGAGCTGCCCCTTGCCCTCCTGCTCTTGGGGCTTCGTTGGGAAACTGCCCCTCCCCCGCCCCAATTAACTGGAGGAATTAGAACCATAGAACCGGAAGGGGCCCCAAGTGTCATCTACTCCGACCCCCTGCAATGCAGGGATCTCAACTAAAACAAAATGAAATATTTCTGACACAGTTTGCAATACGTTATTATTTGGAATAAAATAATCTTGGGAAAGGGTATCCATAACCAGAAGAATGCCAAGAAGTGCAAGTAAGTCTCCCTTCATTGGGACCAGCGGCGAAACTTGCATCCCAAGTCAGGCTTTTACGCTCGTGCACTTTTACCTGGAAGCGCAATAGCATCGCAATCACCTGGGCTGACTTAAAACGCGCTGCTTCCAAAAAGCCTATCTAAATCTAGGACGCGCCACCTCTCTGGTCCCCGCCGCAATTACAAGCAGCTGGGCTTACTTCTGAGTAAGTCCGGTGGTTGTGGTTGTTGTTGTTGTTGTTGTTGTTGTTGTTGTTGTTGTTGTTGTTTCTGAACCATCTTCAAAGGTAGCCCCACCTATAATCATAATACCCGCGTCTCTCTGCAAAGCGAAAAGCCACTCCGCGTTGCCGCTGCAGAATGAATGGAGGCCCGGGAAAAAGAGAACCAATCAGAAGAGAACCGCGAGGCGGCGGCGAACCAATCAGGGGAGCCGGAAGCTGGAAGCCCATTGAAGTCTTGGTCATTCATCTTCTTCCGCCCCGGCTGCTGCTGCTCCTCTGCAGGGGAGAGACAGGCTTCGCCTCCAGTCTGCATCTTCCCGGGATCCTTCCCTCTGAGGAAACCACCTGAGGCTGCCCAATGGTAAGGCTGCCCCTGAGGAATCGAAGAATTGAACCGGGCACCTCCTTCTGCATGCAAAGCAGCTGCTCTGCCATTGAGCTGCGCCCCCTCCCCTAATAGCATAGCCCAACTTCCAGGACCCTGCCTTAAAATAAAAGCTGTCCATGATAATGACACTGGACTACCCTTGAGGGTTGTCGTATGGTACTGCTCAAAACCCCTCTAGCAAAACGGGCCTAACCACACCAGACTCCTCTGAGGGGCTATTATGGGGGGCACCCTCAGACACAGCCCTGCCCCCCCTTTGTAAACAGGTGTAATAATGAGGGATCTTTTCTCCCATGGGGTTAAGGGGGGGGATGTAACACTGTGCAACCTTCATTCACATGATGAGTTTTTTGGGAGGGGGGTCTCCTTCGTTGCCTCTGCCAGGGATTGGACCTGGAACCTTCTCACAAAGCAAATGGGGAAATAGAGCTTTTTGGGGAGCAAGGGAATTTATGTTTGCAGGGAGGGGAGGGGGAATCGCCTGCCAAGCACCCCTCCTCCTGCTTCCTAGAGAGGCAGGTTTTCCATGAAACCTCATTAAGAGGTTTTGGATATGATCCTAAAACCTCACAAAGCTGAGTGACTGGGCAAACCCAGGCTAAATGTCCCCTAAAGACCAAGACACGATTTTCTAAAGCTTCTATGTAAAGTTTTACATTCTTCCTGTTCCCTGTCTCTCCCTTGCAGTCCCTGGACTGGTCCCTGCTTCTTCCCTCCCCTTAAATATATATGTATTGTATAAGTTTTGTTTTTTCAAAATGTTAAACATAACAAACATATAAAAACAACTCTCTGTCAAAGCGTCCCCCCAATGTGTGTCTCTGTGGGAAAACATAGCGTACGTGTCACAACAAAGTCACCCTCATAGCTTTTTCCAACTAATGATTGAGCTCCTTTTGTCAGTTTTTTCTGAAAATGCAATCATCCAGATTTACTCTTTCCATTGCAAGTGTTCCAGAGATCTCCAATTTTGATCAAAGACTTGTCGAGCAGCTACTAAAACAAAGGTGATGAGTTCTTTAAACCTCAAAATTGGCATTGTTATCTCTTTTTAAAAAATATTTTTTAACAATACCAAAGTTGGGGTACATAGGATGTTTTGTATTCACCATTTTTTAGTTTTTTGATAATATGTGTTTGGATTTTGGATTGGTATCTGTAATTAGAATTTCAACTTTGAGGTAAGGGTCTAGAGCAGCGGTCAACAAACTTTTTCAGCTGGGGGCCGGTCCACTGTCCCTCAGACCTTGTGTGGGGCTGGGCTATATTTTTTGGGGGGAATGGATGAATTCCTGTGCCCCACAAATAACCCAGAGATGCATTTTGAATAAAAGGATACATTCTACTCATGTAAAAACACGCTGATTCCCGGACCGTCCGCTGGCAGGATTGAGAAGGCGATTGGGCTGCATCCTGCCCCCGGGCCTTAGTTTGCCTACCCCTGGTCTAGGGTCTAGAGGCATGTGCAGTAACTGTTTGGTTTGTTAGAAAAGGTGTAATTTGAGGCACATTTAGCCAGTTCCAGATGTTGTCTAACTTTGCTTAATATTTGTTCGCCAGTCAAAGGTATGCCATCTGTGTAAATGTCTCCGACCCTAAATAAATCTATTTCTCCATTGTTCACATCAAAGAGCTGCTCTCTGCTTTGAAGTGCATCGTGGCAACAGGTGAGAGAGTCCCAGAAGTGGCCCACTTTACCCTTGCTTGTGTGTCAAGTAGGGAAGGGACCTTTAAAAAAAGTTATCTTTTCTTCTTCTTCTTCCAGAATCTGGTTACCATCCAGGCCCTCTTGACCTTTGAGGAGGTGGCTGTGTTTTTCACGGAGGAGGAGTGGGCTCTGCTGGATCGTGGCCAAAGAGCTCTGCACAAGGAAGTCATGGAGGAGAATTATGAGATGGTGGCCTCTCTAGGTAAGGGCAGATTTGTATCCTCTTGGCTGCTAGACATTGAAAGAGCCAATCTGCTCTTTGTTCCATTTATTGAACATGGTCTTAACAGTGTGTCCGTAAGTGACTGTGGAGTCCAATTCTGGATGCACACATCTTTCCACAGTGGGGACATAGGTTTCCTGGCGGGAGTTAATCACAGTGTCTTTATAGGATCTGAATATGGCAATTCCTCCTTTTTGCCTTTGTGGTCAAAAATACAGATTGGTTTGAAAGGGCTGGATTGTTTTGTGGCCAAAATAGCTAATAGTAACTCTTTCCTTGGCAGATTCAGACCTCAGTTCCTGTTGGGAAGAAGAACAAGGTCCATTCCTCCAGGACCCCAAAGAAGGAGAGACCTCAGCAGGTATGCGCTTAGTCTTAGTTGTGTCATGGGGCCCTTTTTGCTCCAGAAATATAAATATAAATAATTTATACCCCGCCCATCTGGCTGGGTTTCCCTAAACAGGGCTGCCTTCAGATTTCTCCTAAAAGTCAGGTAGTTGTTTATCTCCTTGACATCTGATGGGAGGGCGTTCCACAGGGCGGGCGCCACCACCGAGAAGGCCCTCTGCCTGGTTCCCTGTACCCTCACTTCTCGCAGGGAGGGAAATGCCAGAAGGTCCTCGGCACTGGACCTCAGTGTCTGGGCTGAACGATGGGGGTGGAGACGCTCCTTCAGATATACTGGGCCAAGGAAGAGTAAGTCCTGCTTCTGGGCTTCCTATCAGTATTTAGTTAGCCCCTGTGGGGCTCTTGGATTAAATGGACCAGATGGACAAATGCGGCCTTCAAACCTCTCCAGCTGGCCCTTGGGACTCTCTTCTCCCCAGACCCTGACCGGCTTCCCATCTTCCTTGAGTGTTTTTGGTCTGGCTGGGTTGTTTCCTTGAAATCTGATGGGGCTTCTTGCCAGCCTGGATGGGACAGAGAAGGGTGTGTGGAAGCTCTGATCCTGTCCAAAGGTCGCATTTACATTTCTTGTAAATGCCTCTGGCCCCACAGCGTACAGGCAAGCCACTCTCAAGCCGCATAATGTTGCCTACACAGGGTCTTCTTCTAAAGAGCAGAGATGGCCTCCAGACTGAGGTTTCCTTCCATGTGCTGAGATGCACCCCAAATTAAAATGTCCTCTATAGTGCCACTGAGCTGAGATCCTCTTCACAGGCGCCAGGGGGGTTCTGTTGGGCCCACGCGTCCCCTCTGCTATCCCTCAGCAGGAGAGCTAAGATCTTGCCTTTCCCTGCTTTTGGGAAGAGAGCCATGGCAGTAGTAGCACTAGGAGTGTCTGGCTATTTTGTATTTCGTCATTTGGGTTGAAGGATAAGATCCAGTTGGATGGGGCTCTGAGGAAGGGGAGAGATGAGCAGACACAGCTCAGCAAGTTTGAGGAGGAGCAGGAAGGGACTTGTGTTGGTGTTTTGAGACAACATATTCATAGTCAGAAGCATCTTCAGAAGCTGACTTCAGATTCAGCTGGGCAGGGAAGGAAGGAGGGGGACATTCTTGAAAATGGTAAAATCAGAGAAGTGGAGAACAGGGCTCGATCCATGATGAGAGTCTCTGCTTCTGAGTTGTAATTTGAATTGCATTTTCTTTTTCTGACTCAAAACAGGTAATGGGCAGAAGAGTGAGAATTATGGTGAGCCATCTGTGGTGTCTGTAGAAAATGTGGGGCATGAAGCACAGAAAGAGACCTTTGTAAATCAACGATCACCTGAAAAGCATGTAGGAAATGTGTTGAAGAACTGGAAAACCAAATCCCTTACTACTCAGGACACTGATGTCCGTGTATCACTGAGTCCACAGGAAGAATTCACAGGAAGTAGCAGTGTGGAGTGTGGAAAGAGCTTCAGTCAGAGTGGAAGCATTAGTTTACATCAAAGAACCCAAGCAGGGGAGAAAGTGTTTCAATGCACGGAATGTGGAAAGAGCCTCAGTAGTGCTGGTAACCTTGTCAAGCATACAAAAACCCACAAAGGAGAGAAACCATTCAAATGCATGGAGTGTGGAAAGAGCTTCAGCCAGAGTGGAAACCTTATTGCACATCAAAGAACCCACACAGGGGAGAAACCATATGAATGTATGATATGCAGGAAGAGTTTCAGTCTCAATCACCATCTTACTTTACATCAAAGAAGCCACACCGGAGAAAAACCATTTAAATGTATGGAGTGTGGAAAGAGCTTCAGCCAGAGCGGAAACCTTATTGCACATCAAAAAACCCACACAGGGGAGAAACCATTAAAAACTATGGAGTGTGGAAAGAGTTTCAATCTCAATACCCATCTTTCTTTACATCAGAGAAACTGCACAGGGGTGAAACTGCATAAATGCATGGAGTGTGGAAAGAGCTTCACTTGTAGGAGTGCACTTACAGAACATCTACGAATCCACACAGGAGAGAAACCATATGAATGCATAGATTGTGGAAAGCACTTCCGCATTGGGAGTGTCCTTACTTTACATCAAAAAACCCATGCTGGGAATAAGCCATTTAATTGTATGGAGTGTGGAAAGAGCTTCAACCAGAGCGGAACCCTTACTGCACATCAAAGAATTCACACTGGGGAGAAACCATTTAAATGTATGGAGTGTGGAAAAAGCTTCAGTCAGAGCGGAAGCCTTACTGCACATCAAAGAATTCATACTGGGGATAAACCATTTAAATGTATGGAGTGTGGAAAGAACTTCAGTCAGAGTGGAAACCTTACTTTACATCAAAGAACTCACACCAGGGAGAAACCATTTAAATGTATGGAATGTGGAAAGAGTTTCAGTCTCAATCACCACCTTACTTTACATCGAAGAACCCACTGCACATCAAAGAACACTTACAGGCAAAGTGAACATGAGAAGTAACTGGCCGACTTATAGAGAGCTGCTAACCGAAGTGGAAAATCAGTTAAAATTAAAATATTTTGAAGAGATAAGGGAACTAGTAACAGATTGGTTACAGTATTTTCTCCCCCCCCCCAATAATTTTTATTAAGTTTCCATTTGCCAGATTAAACATATCATACCAATTAGTCCAAATTATATCAATACAGATCATAAAGTCCAAATGTTTTCCAAATTAAATTTTTTTGTGTGGGGGGTACCCATGCTTCTCGATCGTCAGGAATCCAAACATCGAAATTCGTGCTGCTTTTCCTCACTGCAATGATGTTTCCAGTCACATCTTCTCATCTTTGTCATTATTCATTTTCCTTTTCTGTCACCTCCGAGTTTTCTCCACAAGTGGATTGAAAGGAACAGTCTTATTTTGTCTCTGTGTGGGTTTTGTAATGCTCTCTCGTATGTCTCTCACAGAAATCCAACAATCAAGTTTTCGAGCAGACACGCCATCTTGTCATTCCGATGAAATACAATCTAAATGTCCACTTGTTTACTTTCCAGACCCGCTGCCTCATAATTAGTCTTCCAGGAGGATAACAGCCCTTTCAGATTTACGATTCCAGCCTGATATCCAAGCGGCTCTTCCTCCCTAGACCATCCATCTTGCAGCCAAAGTCTGCCTACGCATCGAAACATTTCTTGCTGCGTCACCGAGAGAGACTCACTTCTTTCCAAATCTTTCACAAACATATTATTTTTTCCACACAGTTCATTTTCTCTCCCACTTGCAAATTGGTCGTCGAGACGGTTTTTTAAGGCGGAGGGTTATTAAATACTCACATAAAAATAAAAATAAAAGTCTCCCCCCCCTTTCGTACCATTCCACATACCAACATGTCGGCCGTTCTCTGATGTTATCACTGTTCCTTCCGTCCTTCCGTCCCGATCTTCTCTCAGTGGTAAAATTATTAGCAGATAAAAGCATTCCTGACTTCTCTTGAAGCATGTGCGTTTATTTATCCAATTCTTTTCTTTTTAAACATCGCAACCAGGCTCGCTCCTGAAAGTAGCTGGCAGGGAGCTCCAAGCCTGCCTGAGGGCTTTCCGCCTAGTGCCTCTCACCCCCTCCTTCATCCGAACTTGGGGGTGATTTATGGCAACCGCAGGCGAGGCAGTGTCTTTTCAATTCCATGAAAAGACGAAGGGAGACTGATATGCTCCCCATAATCAGCCTCTAATTACCTTGTGCAAGCTGGACAAGATGTTATTGGCAGCCATCTTTCAAGGCGCCCCTAGCGGCCCCCCTAGTTACAGTATTTTCAATTGAATGATAACTTCAAGATAGACAAAAAGTTATGAGATATCAAGATTCCAAAAAGAACTTCTAGAAAATAATATTAAAACTGTCAAAAATGTATAACTTGCTCCTAGAATGGCATACAAAGGATAAACAGGTTAAATTGGCTATGATAAACTGGGCAAAGGACTTAGGACATAATATACAAATGGCAGATTGGGAGAGGCTATGGAGAACAGATTGGATTTTATTTTTTTAAAATAGTAAATTTTATTAGTATTTTCCACACAACAAAAAATGAAAAATAACAATACACAAAAACAAATCCAAATCTTACAAATTAATAATATAAACACTAAAAAGGAAAACAAACATTGACTTCCACCAATCCCACAGCACCTCCTTTACCTCTCATTGTATCTTCCTGTTTTCTTTATCATCTAGATCCTAGCATCTAAATATATATCCCTCTTTCTTAACCTTTCACTTCACTTTTTTTTAAGATATTTATTAAAATTTTCAAAAATTTATATGACATAAAAACAACAACAAACAAAAAAGACAAAAATACATGCAAAAGACATACAACCACAAGTATAGCTTCGTTCCCTTATATTCATAAAACTTACTTTCCCGACCTCCTCATACCTCCCCTTACTGCATTCCAATCTCTAATCAATTCTCTTCAACAAATCCTTCCCCTAATTTCTATTTAAATTTTGACCTTTCTTTTCATATTTGCATAATCATTACAGCTAACAACCACTTAATTTCTGAATCAACATTATTTAACATTCAACAATTTTGCAATATTTCTTAAGATAGTCCTTAAATTTCTTCCAATCTTCTTCCGCTGTCTCTTTTCCCTGGTCTCGGATTCTGCTGGTCATCTCTGCCAGTCTTAACCTTTCACTTCACAAGGTGATTCCAGACTCAGCCAGCTTTCTGTCCTTGAACCTTGTCTTTTAAGGTATTCGTTTAGGCATTCCCATTCCGCTACACTTTTTGGTTTTTGTCATATTATATCTGTCAGTTTGGCTAACTCTAAGTATTCTGAAAGCTTACATAACCATTCTCCCCTAGTGGGTAACTGATTCCCTTTCCAATACTTAGCCACCAGAATTCTTGCTGCAGACGTCACTTAAAATTCAGTTTGATCTTTTGGGATATTGTCGTTTAATATTCCTAAAAGGAATGCCTCTGGCCTTTTACTATATGATATTCTTAGTATTTTCTTTATTTCTTCATGGATCATGCTCCAAAATTTCCCAATTTTGGGGCATGTCCACCACATAAGGCAGAAAGTTCCTTTTTGTTTCTTACATCTCCAGCACTTATAATTATAAGTTTTATTCATTTTTGCCAGCCTTTCTGGTGCCAGATACCACCTGGGATGCTTTTTCATATAGTTTTCTCTTATTAGGTAACATGCTGTGAAATTTATATTTTTTTGTCCACAGTCTTTCCCATTCTTTATATTCAACTGAATGGCCCAGATCTTGTTCCCATTTTTTAATAGCGTCACCTTTTTCCTCCTTTTGTATTTTCCTATTTTGTAACAATTTATATATTTTTGAGAGAGTCTGTTGGTTGTTGTATATTCCCCTTTCCCATACCAATATTTTTTTATCAAACCCCTTAAATTTATTATCCTTCTCAAATATTGTTTTTAATTGGAAATATTCTAGAGAACGGCTTTGAAATTCACAGCACCTACGCTGAAAGAAAATTATATGAAAATGATGTATCGATGGTATCTGACTCCACACCTATCAGCCAATCACCCATTCCCACCACCCTTCTGAGTAATACCCCTCCCCACCCTCTCACTATACATAAGGGTCTGGTGACTCCTGTTTCAGTGTATCTGAAGAAGTGTCTATGCACACGAAAGCTCATACCAATAACAAACTTGGTCTCTAAGGTGCTACTGGAATTTTTTTATTTTGTTTTGGCTCCTACTAAGTTATCTAAATTGTATAGAACGAGCTCCAATATTTGTTGGAAGTGTAAAGAAAAGGAGGGTACCTTTTATCATTTGTGGTGGTCATGTAAGTTAACAAAGTCTTTTTGGGAATTGATGTACAATGAATTGAAAAAATGTTTAAAATAACATTTGTCAAAAAACCAAAAGCCTTTCTATTACAGATCGGAATTACAGATCGGAATTACAGATTCCGATATCCCAAAAGACCAGAAAAGACTGTTTATGTATGTGACAACAGCTGCAAGGATGCTACTAGCCCAAATATGGAAAGAACCAACAGTTCCAACAAGGGAAGAATGGCAATGCTGAAATGGCAAAAGTGACTGGGAGATTCAGGAATGAAGAAGATAATTACTTTAAAAAAGAATAGGAAAAAAATATAACTTACTTGGGAGACCATTGTGAACACAAAAACGTTAGCTGGACTTTAAAAATAGCTTGTAAAGAAACAAAAGGCATGGATGATTTAGAGAGATGAAAACTGTGGAGAACGTAATGTTATGTAGTTTTAGAAAAAAATATTTTAAGGACCCCTGCAGGGACGGGGCTAGTCACAAGATTCAGAGAATCTCATATATGGATATGTTTAAAGTTTTTTTCTCTTCATTATTTTAAATTTGCTATTGTAAAAACCCATTTAAAATCTTTCAAGTAGAAGAAGAAGAACCTGTACATTCGAAAAACTGTTTAAATGTATGGTGTCTAGAAAGAGTTTTAGTCTCTTATCACCATCTTACTGTACCTCAAAAATCCCGCACAGGGGAGAAATTGCGTAAATGCGTGGAGTGTGGAAAGAGCTTCACTTACTGGGCAAGAAAGAATCCACACAGGGGAGAAACTATATGAATGCATAGATTGTGGAAAGCACATCCGTACTGGGGGTGTCCTTACTTTGCATCAAAGAACCCACTCCAAGGAGAAACCATTAGAACGTATGGAGTGTGGAATGAGTTTCAGTGGGATCGATGGCCTGACTTTGCAACTGAGAACTCACACCAGATAACTAACTCGATAAGTGAATGAAATATGAAAAGAGCTGCCGTGGGAGCATCAAACTTACTTCCCACAAAAGAATCCACAATCTAGATTCATGTCAGGCTTCAGGGATGTGGGGATATAATAATTTATTTATACCCCGCCCATCTGGCTGGGTTTCCGCAGCCACTCTGGGTGGCTTCCAACAGAATATTAAAATACAACAGTCTATCAAACATTAAAAGCTTCCCTAAACAGGGCTGCCTTCAGATGTCTTCTAAAAGTCTGGTAGTTGGTTTTCTCTTTGACATCTGGTGGGAGGGCGTTCCACAGCGTGGGTGCCATTATCGAGAAGGCCCTCTGCCTGGTTCCCTGTAACTTAGCTTTTCGCAGCGAGGGAACCGCCAGAAGGCCCTCGACGCTGGACCTCAGTGTCCGGGTAGAACGATGGGGGTGGAGATGCTCCTTCAGGTATACTGGATCGAATTTTCCTGCTTGGCAGGGGGTTGGACTCGATGGCCCTTGTGGTCTCTTCCAACTCTATGATTCTATGAGTCTATGAATCTCCATGACCTTGGACTGAGAGGCTGGATGCTTTCCAGAGGAAAAACCCATTGCTGCCTCTCAAGGTAAGATGCTGCCCTCACGTTCACCTTTGGCCAGTCTCTGTTGGGCCACTAAGACTGGGAGCATCTTCTTCCCAGGCCCCTGTGGGGCAGTGTGAGGAGGCACCTCTTTTGGGGGCGGGGGCAGACCAGAGAATACAGCAGCAGCTGCCCAGAGGACTCCCAAGGAGAGGGGAGAGGAGGCTGAGGGAACACTGCACAAGGGTGTTCGAAAAGGAGTGAGAGGCTACCAGCTCTGCAGGCAAGGGGGGACATAACTGGGCTCCTCAGCCCCACAGGGGAGCCACAGAAAGAAGGAAATTGGTCAAGGGAGCCAGGACTCAAAAAGGCTGAAAACCTCTGGATTAATGCATTGCTACGAAATACACTGTTTTCGAAAGTAAAAAGACTAAACCCTCTCTTGGGTTCAAGGGAAAGAAACACATTGCTTTGGGCTTAATATATATGAATAATACAAATTGCTCAGTTGTCACCATGACAAGTAAATGTTAATTTTCTTTTTTTTAAAAAATAAATTTTTATTAGTTTTCCAACATAAATTTTTAAACATACACAACACAATACATAAACAAACACAACATATAAAACACGTATAAGTTCATAACCCTCTTTTTGTTTTCCCTCTTTCACCGACTTCCCCATGCCTCCCTTTTCTGCATCTCTAGTTAGTAATTTTTCCAGCAACCCCTCACTTCTGCCAATTTTTAAACTTTTCTCTATTTCTTCTTATTTTACCCAATCATTTACAGGTGTAATCTAGGTTTTTACATTACCCTTGACATTTTTAGCATTCATTAATCTTATAATAATTTTTAAGATAAGTTTTAAATTTCTTCCAATCTTAATCCACCGTTTCTCTTCCTTGGTCGCGGATTCTGCCAGTCATCTCGGCTAGTCCCATATAGTCAATCACCTTCATCTGCCATTCTTCCAGTGTGGGTAGTTCTTGTGTCTTCCAATACTTTGCTATAAGAACTCTTGCTGCTGTTGTAGCATACATAAAAAATGTCTTATCCTTCCTTGGCACCATTTGGCCCACCATACCCAAGAGAAAAGCTTCTGGTTTCTTGGAAAAGGTGCACTTAAGAACCTTCTTAATTTCATTATAAATCATTTCCCAGAAGACCTTAATCCTTGGGCATGTCCACCAAAGATGATAGAAAGTACCTTCAGCTTCATTACATTTCCAACATTTATTATTGGGCGTATGATATATTTTTGCAAGCTTGACTGGGGTCATGTACCACCGATAGATCATTTTCATAATATTCTCTCTTAGGGCATTACATGCCGTAAATTTAATACCAGTGGTCCATAACTGTTCCCAGTCAGCAAACATAATGTTGTGGCCAATGTCTTGTGCCCATTTAATCATAGCTGATTTAACTGTTTCATCCTGTGTGTTCCACTTCAACAGCAAGTTGTACATTCTTGACAGTAAATATTAATTTTCAGGTCTTGTATGTGGAGTCTACTTTATCACTCAGGCTTGAAGGTGAAACTGCTACATCACTCTAAAGAACTAAAAAAATAGCTTACATAAACACATGGAGTTGGTTTGACAGGGACTGTAACTCAAGGAAAAAATAACTGACCGAATTAACCTGGCTCTTATTGAGGAGAATTAATTCATATTTTGGAACCTAATTCAGTGATGTTTTGTAGATAAACCTTTTGAGTCTGTACCTTCAACAATACCTGAAATATGCAGATCCCATCTGAATTCAGTCAAGTTCTTACCTGCCCACTTGACTGGGCTGCTATACAGGTATTTTCCATTTGAAGGGGGGCAGTTAATCAATCCAGACATTAAGATTTATGTGCCAAAGATCACTGCCCAAATGCTTTACAGGGCTGAGGTCAGGAGAATTAGTGTGAAATCCGAACTAGAAGGCAGATTTTGGGGCTTCCTCCTGGGATTCTGGTGGCTCATCTGAGTTGGGTCACCCCTCAATAAGAGGCCAGAACTGATCTATCCTATCTCAGATATTGGTCAAAACAAAAAAATTTCTTCCAGTAGCACCTTAAAGACCAACTAAGTTATCAGATATTGGTGTTATTTTTTAATACAGTTAAAAGTTGGAGGGAAAGAAAGAAGGGGAGAGAGGGCGTAGTAAACTGGTTCTTTTACACAGCCTATGTGCAAGGTTGGGACGCAGGTGGCGCTGTGGGTTAAAGCCTCAGCACCTAGGACTTGCCGATCGAAAGGTCGGCGGTTCGAATCCCTGCGGCGGGGTGCGCTCCTGTCGTTCGGTCCCAGCGCCTGCCAACCTAGCAGTTCGAAAGCACCTTCGGGTGCAAGTAGATAAATAGGGACCGCTTACTAGCGGGAAGGTAAATGGTGTTTCCGTGTGCTCCGCTGGCTCGCCAGATGCAGCTTGTCACGCTGGCCACATGACCCGGAAGTGTCTGCAGACAGCACTGGCTCCCGGCCTATAGAGTGAGATGAGCGCACAACCCTAGAGTCTGGCAAGACTGGCCCGTACGGGCAGGGGTACCTTTACCTTTTTATGTGCAAGGTTTTTGTGTCAGCAAAGTCGAAGGAAATGGGGAGTCTCCCCATTGTTTCTTTGCTCACAAATCCTGTCTCAGTGGCACGTTTAAGATATAAATAGGGTGAGCCTGTGGCCTGGATTCAGGGACTGAGTAGTTATCATAACAAAGGAGTGGCCAGGATGCCCAGGTAATCCAATCAGGTAACCTGGCAGACAGGATAAAAACAACTCGCTCAGATTTCTGTTGTAGTCCGCCCCTTGTCTGATGTACATATGATGTAATTAGGGGGTGGTCCTGGGCTACACCCCTTCTGTGATGTATGTATGATGTATGGAGGGGTGGTTTTGAGATACAGGGTGGGCAGTTCAAAAGTCTATATAAGGGCTGGCACACCTTTGTCCTGGGTCGTCGTCCTCTCTTCTGAGTGTGGGGCGAGCACCCTGTTGCAACAGCTTTAATAAAAATCAGGCTTACTAGCTGTTTTGGTTCTCAATATTCTCTGGTTGGCCTGTGTTATTTTCTCCTACCGATGGAGAACCACAAAGGACTCTATAAGGGCTCTTGTGTACTCCATAAGGGAAAGGGAGCAGTTTTTGTCTACAACACAGTTGATAGGAGTTTGTTGATGTGAAGAACGAAGTGAACACTAGACACACTCCATACATCTAAATGGGTTTTCCCATGAGAACACATTGGTACCTCTTGTTATGAACTTAATTCGTTCCGGAGGTCTGTTCTTAACATGAAACCGTTCTTAACCTGAGGCGTGCTTTTGCTAATGGAGCCTCCTGCTGCATGTGCTCACATCCTGGGGGAAAGTTTGCTTCCAGGAGCACCTACTTCCAGGTTAGTGGAGCTCGTTACCCGAAGCATTCACAAGGAGGACGGTACATAACCAGAGGTGTTACTGTACATAGATGAACTTAACTGAAGCACTTCCCACATTCCATACATTTAAATGGTTTCTCCCATGTGAGTTCATAGATGTATGTTCAGTTGTAAACCTTTAGTGAAGCTCTTCCACACTCCATACATTTAAATGGTTTCTCCCGTATATGACTTTGTTGGTGTACATTAAGGATTCCATTCTGACTAAAGCACTTTCCACACACCATGCCTTTAAACATATTTTTTTTAAGGTCTCAAATTCAATGCTTTGCATGCAGAAGGTGGTCCCAGGTGGAATCCTCGTCAGGCAGAGAGACCCTGTTGGCATCCGTCTGTCTCAGGAGGCGATGGAGGAGGGGGCCTTTGGGGGTGAAGTCCAACTGTGGGCAGCTTCCAGGACCTGCTGTGGCTGCTTCATGTCATGAGTAAATGCTCAATGCTGGCAGAGAGAGGAGCAGATCCAGATGAGCTGTGCTTTCAGCCTCCTATACTGCCTGCTCTTTCTACAGATTTCTGAAAGATGGGCCAATTACGTGGGCACAGAGATTCCTCTCTCCGCAGGGAGATGACTCTCCTGAAACCACTGGCAATGCCCACATTTCCCTGTGCCACCTTCCCTCCCCATATTGGTTCTTCCCCTCAGCACCTCTTTTATTCTGGCTGCCACCATGGAACTTTGTCCACTTTGCAGTTTAGTGTCAGGGGCTGGTCTGAATCGGAAGATTGGGGAATGCAGTTTCAGGAAGATCAGCTTGTAACAGAAGAGAGGGAAGTCCCCCCTGCCCTTCCAGAGTTTCACAATGCAGAGAGACAGGCAGATTCAGAGGCTGCACAGTTGAGACAGGAGCTACCCAGCTTTGAGATAGTAGCTAGGAAACAGGAAGGAGAGAGGCAGCTGAGCAATACATCAATCAGAGTGGGGGGGGGAACTCCCTCACCCCCCCCCACTCTCTGAGATATGAGCCTGGCAGAGAACAAAGGAGAAGTGGGGGAGGGACATCCCGTTGGAAGTACTGCTATCCTTGCGAGGAGTTGCCTGTTTGTGCTAGTAACATGATACGGTAATAAAAAGAGCAGAAATCTATAAACTGCTCATTAATTCTCATTGGTGAGCTACCAAAAAGGGAGGGGGGACTTCCGAACATGACATGTAGCCATGAATGAGGTTTTGTAAAACAATGAATTTGTAAAACAAAAACAACGTAGGATAGTTTAAGGATTACTTTGTGCACATAAGACTATGCATTTCAGTCTTTCTGCGTTTTCATTGTTTTCATTTTTATTGCAACTATAAAAAAGATTTATGCTGTTGTTCTTGTAACAAGGAGCTGGACTAGAAGACCCTTGGAGTCGCTTTCAACTCTACAGTTCTAGTTACAGGTAGGTACCCATGTTGGTCTGCCGTAGTCAAAACAAAATAATAAAATTTCCTTCCAGTAGCACCTTAGAGACCAACTAAGTTTATTGGCATGAGCTTGGTGCATGCACACGAAAGCTCATACCAATAACAAACTTAGTCTCTTAAGGTGCTACTGGAAGGAATTTTATTTTGTTTCGACTACAGTTCTAGGATTCCAGAGCCAATCCTGCTTCCTAAACACCACTGTTGTGCTCCACTTTCCTCAACTCTCCATTCTCAACTCTCTCTGCCAAAGACCAAATATCAACGGACTCTCAGTCCATGTTCACTCACAATGAGCACTCCAGGGTCACATTCTGCACATCCCTAACTGTACATTGAATATTTCATTATACTTACTATTATGAGACATTTACCTTCATTGTCTTAATGCATATTTGTACAACTTTCCATACAAACACCAGAAAATCAAACACACTCCATGCATTTACAAATGATTATTCCCTATGTGAGTTTGTTGATATGAGAGACAAAGTGAACTCTGTGGGGAAAAACTTGGCACACTCCATACATTTAAATGAGTTCTTCCCTGTGAGAGTCCATAAGTGTTAATAACTCCATTATAATTGAAACACTTTCCACACTTTTTCCATTTAAACTGCTGCTTCTCTGTGAGATTGCTGATGTCTTGTAAGAGTTCCACTCTCACTGAAGCACCTCCCACAATCCATACACTTATATGGTTTCTCCCCTGTGTGAATTCGTTGGTGTACAGTAAGTCTTCCATTTTGACTGAAGCTCTTTCCGCACTCCATACATTTAAAGGGTTTCTCCCCTGTGTGAGATCGTTGATGTGTTGCAAGAGCTCCTCTCTCAATGAAACCCTTCCCACAATCCATACATCTAAATGGTTTCTCCCCTGTATGAGTTTGTAGGTGTCTTGTAAGTTTTCCACCTTCACTGAAGCCCTTCCCACAATCCTTACATTTAAATGGTTTCTCCCCGGTATGACTTTGTCGGTGCACAATGAGTTTCCTACTACAAATGAAGGACTCTCCACACTCCAAACATTTATATGGTTTCTCCCCTGTGTGAGTCCGTTGATGTACAGTAAGTTTCCCCCCTTGACTGAAACCCTTCCCACACTCTAAACATTTATATGGTTTCTCCCCTGTGTGAGTTCGTTGATGTTTTGTAAGTGACCCACTTTCAGTGTAGCTCTTCCCACACTCCAAACATTTATATGGTTTCTCCCCTGTGTGAGTTCGTTGATGTTTTGAAAGAGCTCCACTCTCAATGAAACCTGTCCCACATTCCATACATTTATATGGTTTCTCCCCTGTGTGAGTTCTCCGATGAATAGTAATGTGTGAATACTGACTGAAGCTCTTCCCACACTCCATACATCTAAATGGTTTCTCCCCTGTGTGAATACGTTGATGTACAGTAAGCTTTCCCCTATCCCTGAAGCTCTTCCCACACTCCATACATTTAAATGGTTTCTCCCCGGTGTGAGTTCGTTGATGTCGGGCAAGACTTCCATTTTCACTGAAGCTGCTTCCACACTCCATACATTGAAATGGTTTCTCCCCTGTGTGAGTCCGTTGGTGTCTTGTAAGAGCTCCACTATCAATGAAGCCCTTCCCACAATCCATACATTTATATGGTTTCTCTCCTGTGTGAATTCGTTGATGTGCGCTAAGATTTCTATTTTTACTGAAGCTCTTTCCGCACTCCATACATTTAAAGGGTTTCTCCTCTGTGTTAGTTTGTAGTTGTGTGCTAAGGTGTTCACTCATGCTGAAGTACTTCACAGATGGCCCCTCAAAATTCTGATTGTCTTCTCCATCACCTGGTTTAAAGTGGGGAAGGGGGAGAGAAAACATTGTTAGGTATTCAAGGAAGAGAACAAGAGATCTTAACACATTATTTCAACACCTCCAGCATTCCTCCCTCTCCTATGTACATTTTTAGGAAAGGAAATCTAAAAATAGCCTCAATAACCCCTAGTATCCAGTTCTACCTTCAATTCCCATGTAACACTGAGCACCAAGAGAAACCTTCTATGCTGAGGTGAGGCATCTATGACCCTCCAGATGTGGTTGGACTCTAAGTACCATCAACCCAAGTAAACATGGCCAATGACCAGGGATGATGGGAGTTGTAGTGCAGCAACCTCTGGAGGGACACACTTTCCCCATCTTCCCCCTCCTGTGAAAATGCTACACCTCTGTATTCAGTTTTCTCCTTCCTCCCTGATCTGTAATATGTCACTGATACTTTCCAACCAGCTGTTCACATCACCTAAACCTGCACCAGGATGCTGGAAAAGATAGGCCCTCGTTCTGATCCAAAAAGGCTCTTTTTATATTCCTACACACTGAAAGGAGACATAGAAAGTTACAGTTTCACAGCAAAGTGGAAGTATGTACCTCTGAATTGGTCCAGGACAACATCCCTGTATTTTTCTGTTCCAAGCGACGAGATGAGCTCAGACTTGAGTATCAGAATCTCTGTTATGAGGAATAAGTAAAACAGAAGTGCTGTTTATGTCATACGGGACTATAAAAATATTCAAAAATATTAATCTTGTGAAACAAAGACAGCAAGGTATCTGGTGGCCCATTAAAAGTTAATAAATGACACTGACCAGCAAACCATATGCCACCATTTTTACCCTGTGGAATAAGTAAAACACAGGATTTTTTTGCAATTCATACCACAATATCAGCTTACTGACAAAAGTACAGAGTTGCTATAAACTACAATCTTCAACATCAACTTCATTGGGCTGGTCATGTTGTTTGGATACCTGATTATTGTCTTCAAAAGCAACTACTCTATTCCAGACTTAAGAATGGAAATTGATATATCAGTGGGCAACAAAAGAGGCTTCAAGACACTCTCAAGGCAAATCTAAAAATATGCAGTATAAGCGCAGAAAATTGGGAAACACTGGCCTGGGAGTGCTCCATTTGGAGAATAAAGGTAAAGGTAAAGGTAAAGGTACCCCTGCCCGTACGGGCCAGTCTTGCCAGACTCTAGGGTTGTGCGCTCATCTCTATAGGCCGAGAGCCAGTGCTGTCTGCAGACACTTCCGGGTCACGTTGCCAGCATGACAGGCTGCATCTGGCGAGCCAGCGGAGCACACGGAAACACCATTTACCTTCCCGCTAGTAAGCGGTCCCTATTTATCTACTTGCACCCGAAGGTGCTTTCGAACTGCTAGGTTGGCAGGCGCTGGGACCGAACGACAGGAGCGCACCCCGCCGCAGGGATTCGAACCGCCGACCTTTCGATCGGCAAGTCCTAGGTGCTGAGGCTTTAACCCACAGCGCCACCTGCGTCCCCCATTTGGAGAATAGCCTTTAGCAAAGGTGTCATTGACTCTGAAGAAGCAGAAACTCAGGATGAAAGGGAGAAGTTAAGAGGAAAGTTCGTTTGGTAAACCCTCACTGTGATTAACTCCTTCCCATAAACCTATCTCCCCACTGTGGAAGGATGTGTGGATCCAGAATTGGAATCTACAGTCACTTATGGACACACCGTTAAGACCGTGTTCATGGAAGACAATCTTATTCGTCTACGAGGATTTGCCAAAGAAGAAGACACGGAATGAATAAATGGCTCAAATAGGAGATTTACTCTTTCAATGTTTAGCAGCCAAGAGGGATACAAATCTGCCCTTACCTAAAGAGGCCACCATCTCATAATTCTCCTCCATGACTTCCTTGTGCAGAGCTCTTTGGCCTGGATCCAGCAGAGCCCACTCCTCCTCCGTGAAAAACACAGCCACCTCCTCAAAGGTCAAGAGGGCCTGGAAGAAGAAGAGGAAGAAAACAGAGCTTCTCTTAGATCCCCACCAACCCCACTCAACACAGAGGGAGGCTGGGTGGTCCCATCTGTGCCTCTTCCTCCTCCCTCCTCCCGTTACTCTTTCCCTACCTGAGGAAGCTGCCTGGCTCCTCTTTCCACTCCACCTCTGAGAAGAGGCCGTTCAGAGGGGGTCTCGGAGGCCATTGCGTTGCCAGTGGAAAGGACAGAGAGGCGGAAACAGGGCCACTTCTGGGACTCTCTCAGCTGTTGCCACGATGCACTTCAATGCAGGGAGCAGCTCTTTTAGGAGAAAAATGCAGAAATTATTATTATTATTGATCGAATTTATATACCACCCTATACCCGGAGGTCTGAGAGCAGTTCATAGAAAGGTGGATTTATTTAGAGTGGGAGACATTTACACAGAGAGCATACGTTTTACAAATACTGTACAAATACCAATAATAATAAATTTATACTCCCAAATTCTAATTACGAAAGCTCTGGAACGCTTGAGATTATCACAACAGAAACAGAAACTATTGACTTTTGGTGTAGTATTTGTGTATCTGTCTCTCTCTCCCCTCCCGCTCAGACTGGCTCCCTGACGCAGGAGGCTAAGGGAGGGGGGTGTTCCAGGCTGAGTGTGCAGAAATACACAAAAATGGGTTAGGAGGCTGGGTCTAAGATGGGGGGGGGGATATCCCCTGGTGACTTTCAGTGCATAGGTGCCAGCTCCCTGGGTCCCTGAGCACCTACCCCTACCATGAAGGGGCCGGGCACCCACATATTTCGGTGCCAGGGCCATGCATGCTGCATGGCACCCACAGCCCTGGGGAGAAGAGTTTGGATCTGATATCCCGCTTTATCACTACCTGAAGGTGTCTCAAAGCGGCTAACATTCTCCTTTCCCTCCCTCCCCCACAAGAAACACTCTGTGAGGTGAGTGAGGCCTGAGAGACTTCAGAGAAGTGTGACTAGCCCAAGGTCACCCAGCAGCTGCATGTGGAGGAGCGGAGACGCGAACCCAGTTCACCAGATTACGAGTCTATCGCTCTTAACCACTACACCACACTGGCTCTCACACTATGGGGACCCATAGTCGTGGGGTGAAACTGGCACAACTGGTTCAGTGTCCCAGTCAGGTTGCAGGGGGAGGTGGGGGTAGGGGGGGAGTGCCCTTCTCTGGTTCGTCTATGTCTCCCTCCCCTCCCCACCAGGAGGCTGGTTTATCTCTGCGCTTCAAAAAGGATCAATCAATCAATTTCCTTTATTTGACCGATAATCAGAAATAAAACATTACACAATAATTATAAACTATAACATCATAGGGGTACATAAATAAGGTAGGGCCACAGTACTAGACCTCTCACAGATAACCCACATCAAAGCATTCAGTTATACGTTTCCGACACTTGAGTGCCAGGAAAAGGAATTTAGCCACTGACAAAGTTGTTTTCCCAGAAGACTTATTTAGCAGATATGCTGTCTGCTTTCCTCTTTGTTGGGAACTGAGCTGGGGTAAGTATGGAGTTATAAGATACTGTCTTAAATCGTTGTAGAAGGGACAGCTCAGTAAAATGTGCTCTGTGGATTCTACCTCACCCAACGCACAGTGGCATAATCTCTGGTCATATGGGACTCCTCCATATCTTCCCTTCAAGAACATTCAGCCTAGCCGCAGTAAATAGTCTGCGGTATTCCAGGTAGTGGATATCCGCCAGGTAGCGAGCTGGAGCAGCCCGATACAACTGCTCCCCCAGAAACAACCCAGGTTTCACACGGGCTATGTCCTCCTGTCTGGCAATATCCCTTAATCTTTGAGCGATCACCGCCTTTGCGTGGCTATACGTCATGGACTCTATATAAAGGGAGGACAACCCGCACTTCTGCACTTCCTCCACTATCTCCCCTTCCCATGGAGATTTAAAGTTATCCCTCAGAATCAAGGGGGCCAAACCCACCGGTCTGAAACAGAGCTTGAGCCATAGCCATAACTTCGCTTTCAGGGCCACATACCTATAGGCTTGACAACCGGTTTCCAGTCTCATGATCGCGCCTGCCACAGAGGGGGGGATCCTGAGTATGGCCCTGAGGAATTGGGTTTGGATAGATTCCAATTTTTCAAAGTCCCTACGTGAGCCCAAGGCAATGCCCACCAGCAGAAGAGGGAGGACTTTCATTTTAAAGAGTCGCAAGGCAACTTTGACAGTTTGTGCCTGTTTCTTGGAGTACAGGGTTCTAATCACCAAGGCTGCTTTGGATGCGTTCGAGGCTATGTATTCTCTGTGCGCCAAGAAGGACCTATTTGATCTTACAACCTGACCCAGGTATTTGAAGCAGCTGACCTGCTCTAAAGGAATACCATTAATTGACCATGAATTAGGTTTCAATTGAGCAGTAAAGACCATTATTTTGGTCTTGGCATAATTTAGTTGGAGCTCGTGTTGGGTCTCATAATCATGAAGAGCTCGAAGCATCCTCCTTAGTCTGATGGGGGAGGTAGCTAATAGGGCGGCATCGTCCGCATACAGTAGGACATTCAAGGCTCGTCCTGCCAGTTTTGGTGGATGGAAATCAGCATTTGCCATATGCACCACTAGCGAATTAATATAGAAATTAAACAGAGCAGGGGCAAGGAAACAGCCCTGTCTTACCCCCCTAGTGGTGGCAACCGGATTGGAGACTGCTTCAAAAAGGATCTTGCAATGCAAAACCTGTTGGAGGAGGGGGAGGCACTTTGCAGCAGGGTGGCCTTTATCACGCCTCCCCCTCCCCGATTCCCACAGGAAAAGCCCGAGACCCCTCCTGGCTTTCCTTTCACGCCCCCCCCCCATCCTCCCGCCTCCTTTCCCAGCTGCCCTGTTTGTAGATTCCGGGAGAGGGAAAGCAAATCCTTCTCCCACCCACCCCCCATCTCCAAATAACCCCCCCAATGAGGATGGAGACCCTCTCCCCTCCAAATTGCTCGCCCCCTTTTGCAGCCGATTGCAGATTGCCTCTCCTGATTCCCAGAGGGAAAGGGGGGAGACCGTCCTTGCTTTCACCCCCAACCTTTTCCCCTCCCTCCTGCCCTGTTTGTAGATTCATGGGGAGGAAATGCAAATTCTTCTCCCTCCCTGCACCCCAAATCTCCCCTTCCCGAATTGTTGCACCTTTTCCCTCCTCTTTTGCAGCCTCCTTCTCTTCCGGGGGTGTGCATGGAGACCCCACCCCTCCAACATTGCCTCTACCCCCCCCCCGTCACTTCCTGCCTCTCTAGGAAGCAAGTTCATTGACGGAGGGGGATGGGGTGGGGCGGGGCAGGAGATTGCCCCCTCCCTGCAAGCAGAGACCTAGAAATATAGTGGGAAGGGGAACCCCCCCCCCATGGAGCCCAGTGTCCCTCAGCCTTTTTCCGACCATGGCCCCCTCCCGACCTTATTTCCTTCCTGCTCTTAGATAGATAATTTATTACGGTCAGAGACCAGCTTATAAAACACACTTGGGGGTACAATCCCAGAAGGAAAACAAACATTTAAAACAATGTACAACAATAAATTTAAAATGTATAAATGCGATAAGCATATAGACACTTAAAACTTTAAGATAAGCTACGGCAGAGAGCTGACCTAGAGTCACCCATAGAACCAAGTTTGGGGATTTTCTTAATGAACTAGTTTGGGTCAGGGGATGGTCTGCGCCTACAGATCTGTACACAGAATCTGGCGACCATCTGGGTCGTCTTGTGATCTTTGCCTAAGGGGAAAATGTCAAATTTTTGCTTTTCTGGGAGGTCAGTGAGCCTCACCAGCAGGGGATCAATGGTCTCACTACGTGCCTCTTCATAAAAGGGACACCTAAAGAACAAGTGCTCTGGGCTTCCTCTATCCCCCAATGAACAGGCGAAAAGTCTCTGAGCATATGGGACTGCTGCTGTTCATAAATGTACAAGGCAAACACACATGCATAAGTATAGTGTCTGAAACAGTACGGGAAGGGAATCCTGAAGCTATTTTGACTCTCCCAAATTGACCTCAAATATTTCTCTGCAAGGAGGGAGGAAATGGGAAAAGCTTTCCAGTTGTCTTTGGACTGCAGGGGCTTAAACCTTCCTTTGCAAAGACAACCTGGCAAGTATCTGTTAAGCTGAGCAAACTACCAATATATGTAAGAGATTCATTATTAATAAATTATTATTACAGGGAACCAGGCAGAGGGCCTTCTCGGTGGTGGCACCCGCCCTGTGGAACGCCCTCCCAGAAGCAAAGCAGCTAGTAAGCCTGATCTTTATTAAACTCTTTCATCAGGGTCCCCCACTCCCCCCCACGCAGGGAGAGAGGAGAGGAACCCAGAACAAAAGTGTGCAAGCCCCTATATAGACCAGGGGTTAGTAAACTTTTTCAGCAGGGGGCCAGTCCACCGTCCCTCAGACCTTGTGGGGGACCGGACTATGTTTTGGAAAAAATAATAATGAACGCATTCCTATGCCCCAGAAATAACCCAGAATCATAAAATCATAGAGTTGGAATAGACCACAAGGGCCATCGAGTCCAACCCCCTGCCAAGCAGGAAACACCATCAGAGCACTCCTGACATATGGTTGTCAAGCCTCTGCTTAAAGACCTCCAAAGAAGGAGACTCCACCACACTCCTTGGCAGCAAATTCCACAGAGATGCATGTTAAATAAAAGGACACATTCTACTCATGTAAAAACACGCTGGTTCCAGACTGTCCGTGGGCCGGATTTAGGTGATTGGGCTGGATCCTGCCCTCGGGCCTTAGTTTGCCTACCCATGCTATAGACTTTTAAAACTGCCCACTCTGTGGCTCAAGACCGCCACCCCCCCAAAAAAAAAATCATACATCACAGGGGGGCAGTCTACAGCAGAAAATGTGTCTGTCTGGATACCTGATAATGGTTTAACAACAATCTGTTAAACAGGCCCTTCCATCAGATGTCAAGGCAATAAGCAACTACCTTACTTTTAAACGACATCTGAAGGCAGCCCTGTTTAATGCTGTATTGTGTTTTTAATATTCGGTTAGGAGCCGCCCTGAGTGGCTGAGGAAACCCAGCCAGATGGGCGGGAAATAAATAAATAAATAAATAAATAAATGCAAGGTGGTTCTTTTAATGAGATTCAGAAGGAATACAAACACAAGTGAGTGAGAAGATTAAAGATTTTATTTTAAACAGCAAGCATTATATACATTACCAAGCAAGCTCTTCGGTCTGCCATTGGGGAGCCCTCAAGAAGAGGCGAAGTCCCCTCCCCAGGTGGTCTCAGGTTGCACAATCTTCTGGCCATGAGTTTGTACATGAGCTTCCTCAAAACCATCTGATTTACAGAGTACAATGGTACCTCTGGTTAAGAACTTACCGTATTTTTCGCTCTATAAGACGCACATTTCCCCCTCCAAAAATTAAGGGGAAATGTGTGTGCCTTACGGAGCGAATGCAGGCTCCTTGGCTTCAGCGATAGCAACGCAAAGCCTCCGAAGCGCAGTGGGAGCGCTCCCGCCGAGCTCCACTGACAGGGCACTGTGCAGAGAGGGGATTTTTTTTCCTCTTGTTCTCCCCCTCTAAAACAAGGTGTGTCCTATGGTCGCGAAAAATACGGTAATTCGTTCCGGAGGTCCATTCTTAACCTGAAACTGTTCTTAACCTGAAGCACCACTTTAGCTAATGGGGCCTCCCGCTGCCGCCGTGCAGCCAGAACACAATTTCTGTTCTCATCCTGAAGCAAAGTTCTTAACCTGAGGTACTATTTCTGGGTTAGCAGAGTCTGTAACCTGAAGCATCTGTAACCCAAGGTACCACTGTATTGATAGTGAGCCTGTATGGTTTGCCCAATGCCTACGGCAGATTATTCACCAGCCAGCCTCCTCTGCACATCCCTCCAAACAATGTCCAACATCAAAGGTCAGAAGGTACCCTGCATTATCACTTCTTCCTTCCACCAGATTATACATTAAAGCAGGGGTCAGCAACCTTTTTCAGCCGTGGGCCGGTCCACTGTCCCTCAGACCTTGTGGTGGGCCGGACTATATTTTGAAAAAAATATGAACGAATTCCTATGCTCCACAAATAACCCAGAGATGCATTTTAAATAAAAGGACACATTCTACTCATGGAAAAACACTCTGATTCCCGGACCGTCTGCAGGCTGGATTGAGAAGGCGATTGGGCCGCATCCGTCCCACGGGCCTTAGGTTGCCTACCCCTGCACTAAAGCTGCTCTCAGCCATCAAAGAACTTTACGAAGAGATAGAGAAGGAAAGTAAACAGAGGCAGGAAGAGATGACCAAGTTACATCACTTATCTCCTCAAAGTACAAATGTTTTCCAGAAAAGGTTGCCCATTAATCCCCCTCTTTTTTGGGGGGGAGCCCTAAGAGTCACCTAGTCCAACCATCCAGCAATGCAGGAATCACAGCTAAATAATCCCTGGCACATGGCCACACAACCCCAGTTTATAAACATCCTTCCAAGGTAGTCCTTTCCACACTGAACCAATGGATTCATATTACCAGACAGCAGGGTGGATTGGATTTAAATCATTTTTTTACAGAAAGAATCATTTTTTGCTGGTAATAATCTTAATATTTACAACCAGATGCAGGTTTCGTTTTCGGAATAATAAATTTTCAGAGTACTTTTTACAGCTATTATCGAAAATTACTGATTTGTTTATACAATTAGAAACACCTAGATAATTATGAGATTCTTGTGAGGATTAATAAGATAACTGTTTATATTTGGACAACTTGCCTGCTGTACTTTATTGGAAGTCATTCCCGTAATAACTTAGGCTGATTTTTAGCACACATGAAAAACTTAAAACAAATCCTTATTTCCTTCTCAGCTAGAGGGATTTGAGGAAGTCATTTAATAATGGTAATAAAAGTATGATTATAATAGCTAGGATAAATGTTTGTATGTTTGTTTTTTATATTGTAATGTTTTTTCTTTTTTGTTTTTTATGCTTGTTAAAAATTTGGAAAACTCATAAAAAAATTTGGGGGGGAAACCCAACAAATCCTTATTTCCTGATGAATAGCCTTTGGACTATAATGTAACTGAAACAGAAAACTATCTTCAGAAAGATTTTTTGCCCCAAAGCATTTTATTTTAAAAATCCAATTTAAATAAAAAAATAATCTGATTTTAATTTTTGTAAAAAACCTGATTTAAATAAAAAAATCTGATGATTGTTTAAAAAAAAATATCATTGATTTTTATCCACCCTGCCGGAAAGGAGATTCCGACTAAACATTAGGAATAACTTTCTGATGGCAAGAGTCATTCAACAGGGGAATAAGCTCCCTTGCCTGCCCTTCATAGAAGGTTTTTAAATGGATGTTGGGAATCTGCCAGGGAATCTTCAGTTGTGATTCCTGCATTGCAGAGGGTTGGACTATATGACCTTTGGGGGTCCCTTCCAATCCTTCAATAACTGCAATCATGATAATAATAATTGCTTTCAACTCCTTGGGCCCATGGAAACAGCAGATCCAGGCAGGCCATAGACTATGGGGACAAGTTCAAGACTGCCCCAGGCCCGGAAGGGGGGAGAGTGCGGTCTCCAAAGGCTGATTGAACGCCAAATGACTGATATTTGTGGAATACATTTATCTACATTGTAAGATTGCAAACAGGTCTGCTTAACAATTTAACTTGGAAGGTACTGGTTCAATAAAGCCCAAACGGAAGGTTTGGACAATTAACGATTGGGAGTTGCTGCGCCATTAAACTTCAGATAACAGATTTGGACAACATCCCGCATCGGAACGGAGTCGGAGGAAGCTGCGCTGATAAAAAGACAGTCGGAAAAATATATACTAACAAAGCTGTATTCAACGGATGAAAGTACATGATGTTTGACACGACTGAGAATAAAACTCAGGGACGGGAATTATAAAACGTCAAAACCGATGTGTGGAAAATATGGAATGACAAGGAGAGGCAGGACTGAGATGTGGAGATACGCTTTACAGATCCAGACCGTGGGGACCCCCAAAGAATTAATAATTATAATTTGGATTATAATTTGTTCTTTTTTATTTTTGTTTTTTTAATTTTAATTGGAGTATTGTGATTGGATATATTAATTGGATGTTTTTTATTGGAAAATCAATAAAAATGATTTTAAAAAGACTGCCCCAGGCGAAACCGGCAGTCGAAAATTCTTGCTGCCATGTAGGGGAGTTTGAGGCACAGGCTTCCTTGCAGAGGGACCCCCTCCGCCCCTTGTCTTCTGCGCCCCTCCCCCCCCAGCTTCAATGGATCAGCCACTGGCGGATTCCCAGCCCTCCTAGAAATGTCAAGGGAAAACAAGAATATAAACGGTGCCTTGGGGAGGGGACACCCTTGTGGGCATGCAATGGAAGGTCTGTGCAGGTGCCGTGGCATCTGCAGTTGTGTCAGGGAAGGATGATGCGCGTGGTTTCTCCCTCCCGTGGATGCCTTCATGCTTATAAAGGCTCCCTCTGTTTCTGAAGCTCTCTCCACATGCCATGCATTTATACGGCTTCTCTCCCGTGTGGGTTCTTTTGTGAGCAGTGAGAACCTCGAGCCAACGGAAGCTCTTCCCGCACTCCACACACGGATATGGTTTCTCCCCTGTGTGGATTCTCTGATGGGAGAGAAGTCTCGAGTGGCCCCGGAAGCTCTTCCCGCACTCGACGCACTGAAACGGCTTCTCCCCCGAGTGGACGCTTTTGTGAAAAGCGAGGCTCGCGCTGTCGTTGAAGGCCTCTCCGCATTTCCGGCACTTATAGGACTTCACATCTACGTGCGTTCTCTGATGTTGACAAAGGTTTCCTTTGGTCCGGAAGCTCTTTCCGCACTCCACACAAGGGTACGGCTTCTCCCCTGTGTGGATCCTCTGGTGTAAAGTCAGGCTTGACCTTTCGGCAAAGTTCTTTCCACACTCGGCACATTTATGTGGCTTCTCTCCTGTGTGAGTTCTTCTGTGGTAAGCGAGGCTTGGTCTCTCACGGAAGCTCTTTCCACATTCCACACACGCATACGGTTTCTCTCCGGTGTGAGTTCTCTGATGAGCGGTAAGGCCGGAGCTCATCCTGAAGCTCTTCCCACACTCCACACATTTGAACGGCTTCTCCCCTGAGTGGATTCTTTTATGGAAAGTAAGGCTTGTGCTGTCACTGAAGTCCTTCCCACATTCTGTACATATATATGGCTTCTCTCCTGTGTGGATTCTCTGATGTTTACAAAGGTTTCCTTTATTGCTGAAGCTCTTCCCGCAGTCGGTGCATTTATACGGCTTCTCCCCTGTGTGGATTCTCTGATGTTTACAAAGGTTTCCTTTCGTGCTGAAGCTCTTCCCGCAGTCCGCACATTTATATGGCTCCCCCGTGTGAGTTCTGTAGTGCGAAGTCAGCTTCGAACTCACTCTGAAGCACTTTCCACACTCAGCGCACTGATAGGGCTTTTCCCCCGTGTGAGTTCGGTAGTGTATTGTCAGGCTACCACTCTGAGTAAAACTCCTTCCACACTCCATACACTTATAGGGTTTCTCCCCTGTGTGGAGAAGCTTGTGCTTTTTAAGGTTTCCACTATTGCTAAAGCCTTTTCCGCACTCCTTACATGTATACGGCTTTTCCCCTGTGTGGGTTCTGAAGTGTTTATTTAAGTCCGATTTAAACTTGAATATTTTCCCACATGCCAAGCACATTCTCCTCCTCTTTCCTTTACAATCTCCTTGGGGGATGTGGAGTTTGTGGACATCTGCACCCTGAAAAGCAATGGATGTCTTCCTCCAAGTCTTCCTCTGGTTTTCCTTGTGACCTTTGCTTCCAAAGATCTCCCCTCTTACTTCAGGCTTGATGGCTTCTGATGGCGCTACAGAATCCTCATTGTCCTGCCCACCTGTTTGGAGAGGGGCAGAAATCCTGTTAGTAGTGCAAGGCATGAACTAAGGGTCCCAAAACGGATCAAAAGCAATTGGCTGCTTCCCTTTATTTCAACACCCCTATCATGACCCGCCGAGTCCAGTAACCATCAAGACACATAGGCTGCAGAGCCTTTGACTAAGGAGCCAGACCAGGTAGCTGACTCTGAACCAGGTGAGGAGAGGGTGGCGGCACTAAGACAGAGATTGGTGGAGAGGAGATCCCTGGATCAGAACCCACAACATGAGAGCCATAATTGGACAACCCTGAAATGTCCACTTTTGCTAGCAGCCAGGTTTGAAATAACGAGACGCTGGAGGAATTCGGAGGGTACTTCTTTGACAAATGGGTACCATAAAGTACCATACAGTCACATCTTACGTGAATACAACTTGCACAATTTCAACCCTATGTGGTTGGGGGAAGGCTGGTTGAAATTGTGCGAGTTAGACCCAAGCAAGATGCAGTGATTAGAAGTTCATCTTTGCCCTGTGTCTTTGCTAGACCAGGAAAATCTCCATGATTCTTCCCTTTGTTGAAAGCTTGCTTATTTTGTTAAATTTATACACTGCTTGATTGTTTGGGGGGGGGGAACCCTCAAAGTAGTTTACAAAGAGAAAGCCGAAGTACCCTAGGTCAATGGGATCACTGCTATCTATCTATAAGCTTGCTGACACTCTCAAAGAACTCTAACAGGATTGTGAGACAGGACTTTCCCTCGCAGAAGCCATGCTTGCCCTGCTTCCACAAGGCTTGTCCTTCTACGTGCTTCGCTCTTCTATCTTTAACAATGATTTCCACAACTAAGCAGCTACCTGATGATGTCTCCTCCGCCACCTCTTTTTTGGGGTCATGGATAAGTTCATCGTCTCCTTCTTCCCACCAGGAAATGAAGTCTGGTTCTTCCAGGGGGAGAAAAAGACATGGTTGGTATGGAAATACCTCCATATGTACTTTAATTTTATTTGATGTAACTGACAAAAGTAGAAACTTGCATTACAAGTTTTGTTTTGCTTGTGTTCACTATTGTGGAAAACCAGTAAAATACATTCTAAAAAATGGCATGATTTGTTACTTTTGAGCACAAAGTATTCAGAAATCCCATATCAGAGAGTGAGAGAGAACAGACAAATATGTGGGAAGGGAATAAAGCAACCTGTCTTCCCCTTGATCGTTTTGGCTGCCCTTTTTCTGAATTTTCCAACGCTACAACATCCTTTTTGAGGTCAGGCGACCAGAACTGGGCACAATGCTCCCAGTGCAGCTGCACCATGGGTCTATATAACAGCACTGTGATATTGCCAGTTTTATTTTTGGTTGTTTTCCTAATGATCCCTAGCATGAAATCTGCCTTTCTCCCTGGCCTGCGGTCAAATTGAAGCACCCAGGCTGGAGATCGTAGAATCACAGAATCGTAGAGTTGGAAGGGAACCCCGAGGGTCATCTAGTCCAACCCCCTGCAATGCAGGAATATGCAGCTGTCCTGTACGGGGATCGAACCTGCAACCTTGGCATTATCAGCACTGCGCTCTAGCCAACTGAGCTATGATTAGGTGCCAAGTGAAAAAGAGTAACAGGGGCAAAATCATCAGGATCATTGGGAACAGGAGATAAATTAGTCAGTTCCACAAAGGGCCCAAAGACCCAGCTAAGGATTAACCTGCTAATGTCCTTTCCTCCTCTTCTTTGAGGTCTTGGATGAGCAGATATTCTCCTTCTCCCCAGTTGGAACCGAGCTCTGATTCTGTCAAGGAAAACAGGGAAGGCTGTTACTTTTCACTACTAAACTCTTCAGGTCTCCTCCAGGCAGCTGTTATTTGAAAGCCAAGCCGGACATTTAACTTTGGGGGAAACAGCTGGGCAGATGGAAGGGGAGGTTCGACCTGCAGGCCAGCTCTCCTCTTTAAAACAAGAGCTGGGCAGGATCAAACCAAAGTCCCACCTGCCTGCTGCTTCCGAATACCTGTGGGCTGCGGAATATTGAACGCAGCCATCTTCGCTCTCGATCACATGTAACCTGCGGACCGTTTCAGTATGGGCATGCTTTTCAATTACCTTCATATCTTACGAATTTGTCAGTGCCCAGTTATCACAGACAATATACCAAAGCTAGATTACATGTTTTCCCTATCACAGAGGTTTACCCTATATACCAGTCTTTGGACTGTAATAAAGAATGTGTGTGTTTGAATACCAGTTGTGGAAACTGCAGGAAAGGGCCAGTGTGTTTTTCTGCTTGGGCTTGTGGCTTTCTTACAGGCATCTATTATTATTATTATTATTATTATTATTATTAAGCAGGGCTCTTACTTTCTTATCCAGCACACATGGCCCAAACACCCATTTTCATCACAGCATCACTGCACTACAGGTTTAAGTGGCAAAAATAGCAGATTCACACCGACGATACCTATCTATCAAGAAAGGGCAGAATAGAATTCTTACCGAGAGAGGCCACTGCCTTGTGATTCTCCTCCATGACTTCCCTGTGCAGAGCTCTCTGGTCCGGATCCAGCAGAGCCCACTCCTCCTCTGTGAAACGCACAGCCACCTCCTCGAAGGTCACCGGATCCTGGGGGGAAAGAACACACTCCCTACTCAGGAGGTAATCTCTGCCACAGAGACCATTGCTCCCAGTTTGAAAGGGGAAAGGGTAACAAAGTGAGGTGCTGGTGGGCTTTATTTACTCATCTATTTAATAATAATAATAATAATAATAATAATAATAATAATAATAATAATTTATTTATATCCCGCCCTCCCCAGCTGAAGCCGTCCTCACAATGGCTAACAACAATAAAAGTAACACAGCAGCATTTATTTGCAGCATTCAACAGTTTGTTCTGTGATGCAGCAGCAAAAAAGACTAATGCAATGCTAGGCTGACTCAATGGAAGTATAGTGCCCATAGGGTACAGAGGGTGGCAACATGAGAACGGGGCCTTCTCGCAGTGGCTCCCCGTTTGTGGGATGCTCTCCCTAGGGAGTTTTGCCAGGCACCTTCATTATGCACCTTTGATCCTGTGAACAACCCTAATGTCTGCAGGCATTGGGCAGTATACAAATTGTTGTTGTTGTTGTTAACAACGCGGCAGCTAACGCGGCAGCTAAAAAAGCCAATGCAATTCTGGGCTGCATCAATAGGAGTATAGCATCTAGATCAAGGGAAGTAATAGTGCCACTGTATTCTGCTCTGGTCAGACCTCACCTGGAGTACTGTGTCCAGTTCTGGGCACCACAGTTCAAGAAGGACACTGACAAACTGGAACGTGTCCAGAGGAGGGCAACCAAAATGGTCAAAGGCCTGGAAACGATTCCTTATGAGGAACGGCTAAGGGAGCTGGGCATGTTTAGCCTGGAGAAGAGGAGGTTAAGGGGTGATATGATAGCCATGTTCAAATATATAAAAGGATGTCACATAGAGGAGGGAGAAAGGTTGTTTTCTGCTGCTCCAGAGAAGTGGACACGGAGCAATGGATCCAAACTACAAGAAAGAAGATTCCACCTAAACATTAGGAAGAACTTCCTGACAGTAAGAGCTGTTCGACAGTGGAATTTGCTACCAAGGAGTGTGGTGGAGTCTCCTTCTCTGGAGGTCTTTAAGCAGAGGCTTGACAACCATATGTCAGGAGTGCTCTGAGGGTGTTTCCTGCTTGGCAGGGGGTTGGACTCGATGGCCCTTGTGGTCTCTTCCAACTCTATGATTCTATTCTATGAACAACTTGTATAATTATTATTATTATTATTATTGCTATTATTAATTATAATAGTAATGGTAACAGTACCGCTCTATTCTGCCTCGGTCAGGATGGATGGAGGAGGATGCCCAAGCTGATTCAGGGTCTGCAAACCAAGCCTTTAGAAGAAGGGTTGAGGAGTTGGGTATGTTTGGGACGGAGAATAGGAGACTTGAGAGGAGAGACGACAGCCACCTTCCAATATCTCAAAGGCTGTCACAGGGAAGGTAGAGTTAGCTCATTTAATTGGGAGCCACCCAGAGTGGCTGGAGAAACCCAGCCAGATGGGCGGGGTATAAATAATAAATTACCGTATTTTTCGCTCTATAACACGCACCCGACCATAACACGCATATAGTTTTTAGAGAAGGAAAACAGGGGAAAAAAATATTCTAAACGAAACAGTGGATGTATGATTTTTGTGGTTCATGCTGTGGCCACAGACATGTGATCTGACGGTGAGTTTGAGGTAGCCCAATGCAAAAATCCTGAGGATCCATGTGGATCCATGCTTTGTAACCACGTTTTAAGTGGGGAGGGAAGGAAAAGCACTCAAGGGACAAGGAACACGCGTGGGGTGGGTGGAGAAGGATGCTGTTAATAATGCAGAAGAGGGGTATAAGAGGAGAAGCAAGCAGGCTCTGCTTCTCTCCCTCCTCCCCGGCTCACTGAAAACTTTGCTGCTATTTAGCCAGCTGAGTGGGGAGGAGAGTGGGACAGAGAGCCTGCTTGCTTTAAAGGAGCCAACCGGACAGGAGCCGCTTACCTCTCCTCTCCCGCTTTGCTCCTTTAAAGCAAGCAGGCTCTCTGTCCCTCTCTCCTCCCCACTCAGCGGCTCTTCTCCCGCTTTGCTGTTTCAAAGCGAGCCACGGAGGAGGGAAGGAAGGGGAACCATGGATCCTCTGCTCACGACTGCAGCAGATCCCCCCCCCCCGCCACCCGTAGGCATTCGCTCCATAACACGCACAGACATTTCCCCTTACTTTCTGGGAGGAAAAAAGTGAGTGTTATGGTGCAAAAAATACGGTATTATTATTATCCTGCTCTGGAGGGTAGAACTCGAATCCATGGCTTCAAGCTACAAGAAAGGAGATTCTGACTGAACCTCAGGAAGAACCTTGTGATGGCAAGAGCCGTCCGACAGTGACTACCTTTGAAGGTGGTGGGTTCCCCTTGGCTGGTAGCTTTTAAAGCAGAGTTTGGGTGGCCACCTGTCAGGGATGCTTTGGCCGAGATCCCTGCATTGCAAGGGGCTGGGCTAGATGACCCCTGGTGCCCCTTTCACCTCTACAATCCTATGATTCTCTGAATGAGGAAGGTCTGCAGAACCTCTTTCTGTGTGACCTTGAGAACCTGCAATGTGCCGTGGGAATGTAAGAAAGTAAAGAACTTCTGGGAAATGATATATAATGAGATGAAAAAGATGTCGAAATATACATTCTTTAAAAAAACCAGAAGTATTTTTGCTTGGTATTATAGGCCAAGACATTAACAGACAAGATGTCAAACTGTTCTTATATGCAACAACAGCGGCAAGAATATTGTTAGCCCAGAAATGGAAGCAAGAAGAAATTCAGACGAAAGAAGAATGGCAGACGAAATTAATGGGCTACGCAGAATTGGACAAAATGACAGGAAGGATTCGAAACCTGGGGGACCAGAGATTTACAGAAGATTGGAAGAAGTATATGAATTATTTGAAGAGCAACTGTACTCAACAAATTACGCTAGTAGGACTACAAGACGTTTTGTAAGGAGAAATATACGAAGCGTTACCAAGTAGAAAAAAGATAGAGATATTGGTTATGAGTTTGGAATGTAATAGGGAAAATAAGAAATGCATACTAAGAGATTAGATTGGAAAATTTTCAGACAGGGCTGATGGAAGTCAAAAAAACGGAATAAGATGTAAAAGTACTCCTGCATCCCAGTTCTCCTTCCCTTACCTGAGGCGGCTGCACCTGAGGGTCTCCTCCCACTTCATCCCGTGAACCAAGAGAAGGTCCCAGGGATTCCATGCTGCTGAAAATTTGGCCACCTCTGAGACTCTCAGGGCTGCCCTGTCATAAAAGATTTGGAAAAGCTTCAGAAAAGGGACACCCAAATCGCAGAATGGTAGAGTTGGAAAGGTGCCCGATGATGCAATTTGGGGGCATTGGGATGGTAATTCTGTCCTCTCCTTCTGTGGGGGGGGGGGGCGGATAGGGCGAGAGAGCACCCTCCCTCCCTCCTCTTCTGCCCTCCCCGTCCCAGCAAGGCTGCTTTCTCTGCACCAAGCCCCCCACCCACTCCCAGCTCCGTATTTGGGGGTGGGGCTTCTAACAATCGTGCAATAGAAATCGTGCAGTGGGTGTTTCTTCCTAAACCTTGGGGGGGAGTCTCCTCTGCACACAGACCTATGCATCTTTCACTCCCCCCCCAATGAATTTTACTTGGCGGTGGGCAGGACGAGGCTCCTGGGATGCAAAATCCACGCAGCTGTTGGAGGAGCGATTCTGAAGCTGGGTTGCATGCAATGCATCAGAGCACCCCTCCCTTCTATAGGTTTCGGGGGGGCATATGGAGAGGGGGGACTACCCCTTCTCCCCTCCCTGCACCCAAAGCAAATCCCTGCCCCTTCCCTCTTGCACCGTCCCGCACCTCTTTCTCAATCCGCTGTCCGCTCCGCATCTCAGCCTCCCTCCTCCTCTCCGAGGGAGTTCGATCAAGCCTATTTGCCCCTCCCTGCCTTTCACTATTGTCTGCCTGCCTGTCTGTCTGCCCACCCCTTCCAACACCCCCCCCACTTTGTTACAACATCCTGCCTCTCTAGGAAACAGAGTCCAGTTCTTTACACAGCTGGAGGGCTGAGTGACAGATGAGCTCTCTCTTGCGCTTCGCTCTCTTAATACATTGCAAACTGCAATCAATATATTGCAAACTGCAGTTGATCAATTAATCTCTCTTATTGCTGCACTGAAGGGGTTTAGAGTAGATGGCTCTTGCGGTCCCTTCCAACTCTACCATTCTATAATCAGAGAATCAGAGAATTGTAGATTTGGAAAGGAATCTTTCGCCCAACATAGGACTTAGGGTTGCCATATGTCTGGAATTAGGCTAAAGGTAAAGTAAAGGGACCCCTGACCGTTAGGTCCAGTTGCAGAGCAAGCTTAGACCACAGTGCTACCAGCATGGTGGAATTAGCTAAAAGGTAAAGGGACCCCTGACCATTAGGTCCAGTCACGGACGACTCTGGGGTTGCGGCGCTCATCTCGCTTTATTGGCCGAGGGAGCCGGCGTACAGCTTCCTGTGGCCAGCATGACTAAGCCGCTTCTGGCGAACCAGAGCAATGCATGGAAACGCTGTTTACCTTCCCGCCGGAGTGGTACCTATTTATCTACTTGCACTTGGACGTGCTTTCAAACTGCTAGGCTGGCAGGAGCAGGGACCGAGCAACGGGAGCTCACCCCATCTTGGGGATTTGAACTGCTGACCTTCCGATTGGCAAGCCCTAGGCTCTGTGGTTTAACCCACAGCGCCACCTGTTCTGTTAGGCTGAAATAAATTGTAATAAAATAAAATGCCCTCCAACCATCCCACCCTGTCCTGTAGTTTTGCCCGAACAAAGGAAAGCCAAGCAAGACATTTGGCACCAGCTTGGCGTCAGGAATTGCCTGGAAGGAGGCATGCAAGGCACCATCTGACCGTCTTAGGGGCTCCAGTCCGGATTTGTGTAATGTTTACTCCTTAGCCTTTTCTTCCCCCTTAGAGTCATGCAGGCAACTGCATTGTGTTGGGGGTTGCGCTTTTGGCGACTGTTTACTTACTTTCTGCTGGGATCCTTCCTGAAAGTTTTGGCAATGGTTTTTGAAATGCTGTTGATTTGTGCTTTCCGCATGTTGGTGGTGGCGGTGGGAATGGGTTGATGATTTTTAGGAACTGTTCAGATAACTGTGCGTGTGTGTTTGAAAGCTGCTGTGTGCTGCTGCAGCAGCACAAGAACGGGCAAGGCCTTTGCATCCTGTCAGAAACTCATCATAGTTGAACAGCCCAATGTGACTGACTGGGTAAGCTGCTCCGGGTTGCAGAACTGTGGCTAGGGAGGGGTCCCCAAACTAAGGCCCGGGGGGCCGGATAAGGCCCGAAGGACTCGTTTATCCGGCCTGCGGTGACCCCCACCACCCGCTGCCACTGCCCATTTTTACCGGCGCTGCGCTGCGCCGCTGCTGAATTCCAGGTCAGAGGAGCACCGGAAATAGCTTGTGCACATGCGCAAGTGTTATTTGCACATGCACAAGTGTTATTTCCAGTGCACATCCGGGTTGGAGGAGGCCCGTACATGTGTGCACAAGCTATTTCTGGTGCTCCTCCAACCCGGAAATGCGCCGGAGATAGGGTGCGCGCACGCATATGAGCACACGCTCCCCCACCCTCTGGCCCGCCGCACCATCAGCGCTGGAGACACCGGCCCAAGGCGCGGTAAGTTTGCTGACCCCTGGGCTAGGGAGTGTTCGCCAAGGAGAAAGACGAAGGCCTGAAGAGGTGGACTGGGATTTGCTTGAAGCTGTTACCGTACTAGCTTGGGTTAAGAAATATCACATTAGTGGATTTGAGGGATAGGGCCATTTTACGGAGCTCCCCACAGCTTCAGAAATCCTTTCCCACTGAACTCTGCCAACCACCCAAATGTGCTGGTTGTCAAGTGGACCTCAATCCATTATATATATATATTAGTTTTCCAATTATCAAAGTGCCAATCAACTTCCAATCAATACATTTTAATTAAAGTGGCTCCCTGCATGGTGGTTTGGGTGCATTTCCGATCTTATATCACTGCGTTCCATGACCTTAATTAATGTCAGTTACATTTCAGTTATAATAACAATCCCTCAGTCAACAGCTACATAATTGTTTCCATTCATGATGTTACATTATATAAATTTTTAGAGCTTCACGTGAGGAACTCAAACTATTATCTTTATTCTGCGATGCGTGTGAAAACTTATGTCCATGGAGATTCCTTCTCTCCATATATGATATTGTCTCTTTCACTTCCCAGATGTCGTTTTCTCCCATTGTGGCTTTGGGCAGAACTGAATCTCGAAGTTTCTCAGAGGTCTTATCTCTCCATCCCTTGCTTCGATGTCTCAGAACAGGTGACAGTCTGCTAGAAACCATTCTGTCTCACTGGTAAAACATGTCGCAGATCTTCGCCATTGCCCCCTCAGCCTTGGAAAAGGTGGACAGTTTTCGAACGTGCTGAAGATTTAATACAGTGGTACCTCTGGATGCGAACGGGATCCGTTCCGGAGCCCTGTTCGCATCCTGAAGCGAATGCAACCTGTGTCTGCGCGTGCACGTGACATCATTTTGAGCATCTGCGCACGCGCGAGTGGCGAAACCCAGAAGTAACGCGCTCTGTTACTAACGGGACGCCGCAGAGCACAACCTGAAAATGCTCAACCCAAAGCTACTTCAACCCAAGGCATGACTGTACTCCAATCCAAATCACAGAATCTCTGCAGCGTTCTTATCACAGCCGCCATATTCTTTTCCTTCCAGCAAGAGATTTGTGGCCCAATTAAATTTTATCTTAGAGTACCTTCCGTCAGTAGAACACACAAATATAAGATTCCATGATTCCAATACAATTTTTATTTCCCCATGTGAGTTCGCTGGTGCGAGGTAAGGGTGTTCATGTGGCTGAATCTCGTTCCGCACACCAAGCATTTGTACGGCTTTTCTCCAGTATGGATCCGGTAGTGCCTCACGAGGCTCGCAGAAACGCTGAAGCTCTTTCCGCACTCGGAGCACCGATATGGCTTCTCGCCCGTGTGGATTCTTTGGTGTCTCGTGCGGGTTGTGCTCTCGGTGAAGCTCCTTCCGCACTCCAAGCACGTGTACGGCTTCTCCCCAGTGTGGATTCTGTGGTGCGACGTCAAGCTTATGTTCGTACTGAAGCTCTTGCCGCACTCGGAGCATCGGTAGGGCTTCTCGCCGGTGTGGGTCCTCTGATGGGAGATCAGGTTCGTTCGTTGGATGAAGCGCTTTCCGCACTCCGAGCACGTGTACGGCTTCTCCCCAGTGTGGATCCTGTAGTGCCTTCTCAGGGTTGTGCTCAGAGTGAAGCTCTTGCCGCACTCTGCACACACATATGGTTTCTCCCTCGTGTGGATCCTGTGGTGTCTCACTAGGCTTGTGCTCTCGGTGAAACTCTTTCCACACTCGGCACATCTATACAGTTTCTCCCCTGTGTGGATTCTCTGATGTGCTCTAATGCCCGCTTTGCCAGTTGCGCCATCTTCACGTAGCGGAATATTATTCCTTTTGCTTGCTTGGCAACGCTCTTCATGCACTCGGATTTCTGAGCAGTCACAGCTCTGGAAATCAACAAGCTTCCTCTTTGTTTCAGTTTTCCTGCTCTGCTGCTCACACGCTTCTCTGTTTCCTCTCCCACCCCCTGGAGGAACGGAAAGAGAAAACTGGTAAGAAACGGATCTTTCAAATCAGGAAAGAAACCCTACTAACTGTGGTATTCATTAAACAGTAAGGTGTTGGTTTTCAAGAAGCTTTTACTGTTTAAAGTGGTACAATACTTCTCGTAGACAGTGGCGGAGCTTCATGCTCCAGCACTGGGGGGCGGAAAGCAGGTGGGAGCAGGGCTGATGCGTGTCCCGGGGGTGTGGCATGCCACCCACGGGGCGTGGCGCATGTCTTGGGGGCGTGGCGCACCGCCTGCGGGGCGTGGCACCCAGCATGGGCAGGGAGGCAGCCGCGATGGCACCCCACCAGGATCACGCTGCCGGGGGCACTGCGCTCCCCCCGCACTCCTCTTCCTCCGCCAGTGCTTGTAGTGTAAAGTGCAGACGGGCCCTCACTCCGTACAGTGGTACCTTGGTACTCAAACAACTTGGAACCCAAACACTGCAAACCCAGAAATAAGTGTTCCTGTTTGCGAACTTTTTTCGGAAGCCGAACGTGCTCCTTTTTGAGTGTTACGCTAAGGTCTGTCTGTTTTTGCTAATTATTTTGCGTTTTTGTGGCTCTTTTGTTTTTGTGACTGTGTGGAACCCAGTTCAGCTACTGATTGACTGATTGTGTGATTGCAATACATTGTTTATTGCTTTTATTTTATGGAACAATGGTCTCGTTAGATAGTAAAATTCATGTTAAATTGCTGTTTTAGGGGTTGTTTTAAAAAGTCTGGAACAGATTAATCCATTTTGCATTACTTTCTATGGGAAAGCGTGCCTTGGTTTTGGAACACTTTGGTTTTGGAACAGACTTCCAGAACGGATTAAGTTTGAGAACCAAGGTAGCACTGTATTAGCAACTAAGCTTACAGTCTAGGCCATAAGATGTGCAGAAGGCAAAGAGGGTTGCTTACTCAAGGAGTCCAGATTCCCATAATTCTCCTCCATGACCTCCCTATGCAGACATTTTTGGTCTGGATCCAGCAGAGCCCACTCCTCCTCTGTGAAATCCACGGCCACTTCTTCAAATGTCACCACACCCTGAAAGGAGAGAAGGAAAATATTTTCTTCCCATGGGCAATGTTAAGAATCCAGCAGTGAAGCTAAAAAAAAGGTGGAGGTACCTAAAATTTCCCCTGTAAGATCTAAGGTGCATTCAAAAAACTTCCAAGTAGACAGTCTCTGAAAGCATCACAAAGGACGCCCAGTCTTTGCTGCCTCGCCCCTCGGCCAATCTCTGCCATCGGTCAGGGATTATTTGGCTGTGATTCCTGCATTGCATGGGTTTGGACATTCTATGAATGTGTCCCAGAAAGCAATTCTTCTCGTACCTGATGCATGGACTGCACATCAACTGCTTTAGCTCTATCCCAAAGATGGGAAGAACCAGAATGAAGCTCCAAGATCATTTCACCACCTGAGAGGAAGAAGAAAAAAAGCAGACAGGTTCTGCAGCCATCTGATCCCGTTAGCTGCCTGGGCTCATTCAAGAAGTTGCCAAGAAGTTGATAAGGCTCATTACTGAGTTATTTGAAGTTCGACAGCTTGCTCCCCCTCCCAGGCTGAGAGAAAGATGGGGAAAAGTGGAAACTTATTGGGACAGTGTGACTTTTGTAGCTGTAAAACAATGGAGATTTTCTGAAACAGCAATGGGACACCCAAGGCATGCAGGAGAACAACAACAATTGACAAAAGATAGACATAATAAATTACAAGGATGGGAAGAAATATTACAGGCACACAGGAAGGAGGGAGTTTGAATGCTTCATCTGTAGGTGCAGAAATTATTCAATGCGTCTGTACGAATGGAAGTCGTTAAAACTGCAGGTGCGATATAAGGGGTTGGTACGCTGTGGTCTAAATCACAGAGCCTAGGACTTGCCGATCAGAAGGTCGGCGGTTCGAATCCCTGCGATGGGGTGAGCTCCCCTTGCTCGGTCCCTGCTCCTGCCAACCTAGCAGTTCGAAAGCACGTCAAAGTGAAAGTAGATAAATAGGTAGGGAAGGTAAACGGCGTTTCCGTGCGCTGCTCTGGTTCGCCAGAAGCGGCTTAGTCATGCTGGCCACATGACCCGGAAGCTGTATGCCGGCTCCCTCGGCCAATAAAGCGAGATGAGCGCCGCAACCCCAGAGTCAGTCATGACTGGACCTAATGGTCAGGGGTCCCTTTACCTTTACCTGGAATGGAGCGTGAATGAAATTTATAAGACTTTGGAACACAGACAGAAAGGGAAACATCAAACCATTAATTCCAGCACGCAGAGGGCCACCTAAATTGTATAATTTGGCATCTCAATGATTGGTATTTTTAATTGTATTATAATTTGGCATTGTTATAATGAGGCTGTTATTGGATTGGATTGTTGTAAATGAGAACTAGTAAAAACTATTATCTAAAAAAACAACAAATGTGTGCTATATGAAGAGGTGCTCTCATTTATCCATCCCAAATGTCTATCACAAGCTGGAAAAAAGGGAGGACCCGGCAGTGGCTAACACCGTCAAGGGACAGATCAGGCTGAAATTGATCCCTATTAATCCTTACCTGGGGGGGAGGCGTCTCCATCACCCTCTTCCACAACCCACCTGAGCCACGGCCTCTGTGTGGGATCCAGGGGAGCCTTCTTGGTCTTGGGGACCAGTTTGGACTCTCCCACCTCCTAAAACAGCAGGCGGAAAAAGGGAAAGAGGAGTGAGGCAAAGAATGTGAGGTTTGCAAAGGGACGAGAAAGAAACTTTTACAAGTGCTGGGTATTTCAAGATTGAACTCGTGTCTTGTTATGTAAGACACGGATAACCATAGAATAGAATCATAGAATCATAGAGTTGGAAGAGGCCACAAGGGCCATCAAGTCCAACCCCCTGCCAAGCAGGAAACACCATCAGAGCACTCCTGACATATGGTTGTCAAGCCTCTGCTTAAAGACCTCCAAAGAAGGAGACTCCACCACACTCCTTGGCAGCAAATTCCACTGTCGAACAGCTCTTACTGTCAGGAAGTTCTTCCTAATGTTTAGGTGGAATCTTCTTTCTTGTAGTTTGGATCCATTGCTCCGTGTCCGCTTCTCTGGAGCAGCAGAAAACAACCTTTCTCCCTCCTCTATGTGACATCCTTTTATATATTTGAACATGGCTATCATATCACCCCTTAACCTCCTCTTCTCCAGGCTAAACATGCCCAGCTCGCTTAGCCGTTCCTCATAAGGCATCGTTTCCAGGCCTTTGACCATTTTGGTTGCCCTCCAACCAGGTAGGGCCTGGGTGGTGGCAGCGAGAAATAAAGTGGTGGCACAGGGATCCATAGACGGTGAAATGTCCGGGGACCCTGTGTGATCGCCACAGTAAAGTGGAGACAGCGGCAGGATTTGATAAGCCTAAGAGCCTGTGATGGGAAGCAATACGCCTGGAGAGGGGAAAGTAGTCTCAACAGCCCCCTCCATTTACAGCCCCATGGAGATATGGAGCTCAGCCCCCTCGAATCTTGAGGGGGTCGAGGAGACCTGGCGGCAAGTCATACGGGGCCACGGGCAATCTCCTGACCCAGCACAGCCTGGTGGGATGTTGCCCTGGGCAATGCAGCGTCATGAGCGGCCACACAGACCAGTGCAGCCTGGCAGGCAAATGTCTCATCGGGAGAAGGCCTGGGAAGCTTCCTCCCGACGCAGCAATCGTCACACATGCAATACGCATGCTGCTGTTGCTTCTTCGGGGCACCTGGTTAGCCATTGTCTAGGACTCGTTCGCCTCGTGTGGTCCTCTCCCTACCTGAGCAGTAGGTCTAGCAGCCATTTCCGACCCGCCGTAAAGAGATGTTTTCAAGAGCATCAGTGACGTCGTCTCGTTCTCTGTGAGATGGTGGTGGGCAGAAACATTGAAATTGTTGTGAAGCACCCTGAGATCTACAGGTGAAAGGTGGTATACAAATTTAATAATTTTTAAAAATTGTGCATTAATGAACTCTGCATAAGGCTGGATACAATACAGTGGTATCTTGGGTTACATACGCTTCAGGTTACAGACTCTGCTAGCCCAGAAATAGTACCTCGGGTTAAGAACTTTGCTTCAGGGTGAGAACAGAAATCGTGCTCCAGGGGAGCGGCGGCAGCAGGAGGCCCCATTAGCTAAAGTGGTGCTTCAGGTTAAGAAGAGTTTCAGGTTAAGAACAGACCTCCAGAACGAATTAAGTACTTAACCCGAGGTACCACGGCATAAATAAAGTCATACCTTGGGTTGCAGCTGCTTCAGGTTGTGTTTTTTCGGGTTACAGACTGCCGAAACCCGGAAGTACGAGAACGGGTTACTTCCGGGTTTCAGCGGTCGTGCATGCGTAAAAGCGCTAAATCACGCTTTGTGCATGCGCAGAAGCACCGAATCACAACCCGAGCGCGCGCTGACGCACAGACGCGGGTTGCGAACGCTTCGGGTTGTGAACGTGCACCCCGCACGGATCACGTTCGCAACCCGAGAGTCCACTGTAATATAAATATAAATAATATAAAAATAAAATTATTATTTATATCCTGCCCATCTGCCCGGGTTTCCCCAGCCACTTTGGGCGGCTCCCAAAAAAATATTAAAAACACGAAAAAACATCAGAAACTTCCCTAAGCAGCGTGGTGCTCATAATGCCAAGGTTGCAGGTTTGATCCACGTACGGGACACCTGCATATTCCTGCATCGCAGGGGGTTAGACTAGATGACCCTCGGGTCCCTTGCAACTCTATGACCCCTCTGCAAAAACACACAGTGGGGGGGGGGTGTGAGTCAGCGAAGCATATAAACAGCTCATTACAAACCATTTCCGCAAACTCACAGAGCTTGATTTGCCATTCTAATAATGATGGTGTTTTCTCCTCCCTCCAATTCTTTGCTGTGGAAATGGCAAAATTGACAGCAATCATTAGAGGCCATTCAAATCAGAGAATAATTAAGGAGTGGGATGGAGTGAAGGAATACATGAAAAAAAATAAGGTTCCGGAACTGGAATATTAATAGATAATGTGTAAAACGTGCAGGGGTAAGGAAGGAAATAATAAAAGAATCAATTGAATAACTATTAAATTACAACGACACAACAAGATGGAAGAAGTAAAAAATACTGAGATCACACATGGGTGAAGGGGAGTGGGAGGGTATAGGGGAATTTATAAAAAATTCTAATATAATATTTCTAATTGCGTTGCATTTATAATATTTCTAATTGCGTTGCAAAGGGAAGTCTATGGCAATTAGGTATATTTTAATTTAGTCAGCTATATAATAGGCTTACATTAAGAAACAAATATGGATTTTGAATTTGAAGTTTGTAATTCTGTTTTTTTTAAAAAAAGGTAAATTGAAAAAATAAATAAATTAAAATAAAATAAAATAAGTATACAGCTCATTATGTTCTAGGCGCCCACAAAAGGAGAGACCCAGTGGTCTTGGAGCTGTTCATGTAGGAATTTCTCCTGGGAACGTGTAGAATCGTAGAATTATAGAGCTGGAAGTCATCTAGTCCAACCCCCTTGCAATGAAGGAAACACAACTTCTCACAATTCCAACAACTTAGGAAGAAAGGAATCCTCTCTTACCCAGCAAAACGCCCCGACTTCGAATCTCCTGGGCGATGCCAACAGAGAGCAGCTTCTGACAGGGATTGTGTGGAGCGTTCTCCAACTCGGAGGAACCAGCGGCGACCCCCAGGAGTGGGCCTTGCACCTGAAACAGAAGCAAGGATCCCATGGAGGCAACAGGTTAAGAGGAACAATCCATGCGGGGGGGGGGGGAGTCGTCGTCAAGAAAGGAACCGAAAACGAAAACAGCCAGTATCACAATGCCATCATACAGCTCTATGGTATGATTGCATTTGGAATTCTGTGGATAGTTCTGGTCACCTCGCCTAGGAAAGGGTACTGTTGAGTTGGAAGTGGTTCAGAAAAGGATCAAGATGATGGGGGCAACACTCCCCCCCCCATGGGGAAAGGTGGCAGATTCTAGAGCTTTTTAGTTTAGCAACAAGGTAAGTAAGGGGCAACATGGTATATGTTTATAAAATAATGCAATGGCATGGAGAAAATAATAATAATAATAATAAATTCCCTCCCCAGCCGAAGCCAGGCTCAGAGCGACTAACAACAGTAATAATAACACAGTTTACATAAAATCATAATCATTTAATTGAAACACATTCTTAAATCAATTCATTCTAAAATCAATTCAGAGTCAAATTAATGGCAGCCATTGGGCTAGAGTTCGATGAGGATTACAAAAGGAAGGGGTCAGACTATGCCTTGGCTAAAGGCCTGGTGGAACAGCTCTGTCTTGCAGGCCCTGCGGAAACTCCCGCAGGGCCCTGGTCTCTTGTGACAGAGCCTTCCACCAGATCGGGGCCACGGCCGAAAAGGCCCTGGCTCTGGTCGAGGCCAGCCTAACCTCCCTGTGGCCCGGGACCTCCAAGATGTTTTTATTTCAAGACCGTAAGGTCCTCCGTGGGACATACCAGGAGAGGCGGTCCCGTAGGTACGAGGGTCCTAGGCCGTATAGGGCTTTAAAATGGGAAGGGAACGTTTATCTCTCCCTCTCTCATAACACTAGAAGTCGTGGACACCCCAGGAAACTGAATGTTGGAAGATTCAGGACAGATGAAACGAAGGACTTTGTCACACAGTATGAAGCTAAACTACGAAGGAGCGTCTCCACCCCCATCGTTCAGTTGGGCATGTTGGAATATAATCTTCTTGCATGCATTTTCCAACTCTCTAAACTACTTGGATGAAAATACTCTCACCTGTTTCTCCTCTTCCTGCTTCTTCCCCTCCTCCTGGCTCAGGAGGAAGCCTTCGGCCAGGGCCACCGCCTGCGAACTGGTCTCTGCTCTGCACTCCCGGACCCAGTTCTCCATCTCCGGGGGAAGGACAGCCAGGAACTGCTCCAAGACCACCAGGTCCAGCATCTGGGCCTTGGTGAGCCTTTCCGGCTTCAGCCACTGGCGGCAGAGACTGTGGAGTTGGCTGCAAACCTCTCGGGGCCCCTTGGCCTCCTGGTAGCAGAATTCCCTGAACCGCTGGCGCCAAAGGTCTGAGCTGGTATTTGCCTTATCCGGGATCTTCTGCACAGTCCCTTCCCAGCATCTCCCACTGCATCCAGACTGCATGGGGTGAGGGTCTTTTTCTGCTTGCTCTCCTGCCCGGCTTGGCACTTCCATTGTGGAACTGAAGGAAGAGGCAATGTCTCAATCCTACAAGGGCATTTTCTGCTGCCAATCTGAGCTTCTCCTGCAGGAAAGAAAGCAAACCCCCCAAAGAATCATGGAAGGCCACTGGCCAGGTGATTTTGCACCGTTCCCTTCCCCTAGAAGCATTTACCTATCGCTCTCTTCTCACCACAGGGACACGGGTGGCGCTCTGGTGTAAACCACAGAACCTAGGACTTGCCGATCAAAAGGTCGGCGCTTTGAATCCCCGCAACGGGGTGAGCTCCTATTGCTCGGTCCCTGCTCCTGCCCACCTAGCAATTTGAAAGCATGTGCTCTGCTCTGGTTCACCAGAAGCGGCTTAGTCATGCTGGCCACATGACCCGGAAGCTGTATGCTGGCTCCCTTGGCCAATAAAGCGAGATGAGCGCCGCAACCTAATGGTCAGAAGACATCTGAAGGCAACCCTGTTTAGGGAAGTTTCCAATGTTTGATGCTTTAACATGTTTTTAATATTCTGTTGGGAGCTGCCCAGAGTGGCTGGGGAAACCTGGCCAGTTGGGCGGGGTATGAATAAATCATCATCATCATCATCATCGCTTCATTCTAAGGTCCCGGGGCAGGTTACAACATTAAAGCACAATATTGAGAACAGTTTTAAAGCCAGGCCCCTGAGGTTAGACCATACCATGTCAAAACGCACGCAGGGTCCAGGAACTCTGCATTCACAGAGGAGCCACAGAATGACGGGAATTGCGTTCCCTAGGAAACCTACACCTGGGGAGTGGAGTCTGGATGGTGGTGGGATCCTCTTGCCCCCTGCCCTCTCCACATCCCCCCCCTCCGTTCTCTGGGAGCATCAAGAGCCTTTCAGGGGCTTCTGTGGACCAGCTGCATGCAAAACTCCAGAAGCATAAAATAAAAAAAATATTTAAATACCAGTTGCATGGGGAGGGGAGGACAAACTGCTAGCTCCTGACCAGGACAGTCCTCCCGCTCCCCCCCCCCCGACTGGCAGCGGCTCTCCCCCTGCCCCGCACATAGCTGGGCCTTTGCTCAGAGTCTTGCCCCCCTCCCCAAACTTTTAGCAGGAAGGGAATCCTGGGAACCCTATTGCGTTCTGTGCAGCCGTGGCTCGCCCCCACCCCAAATGCACGCATGCAATTGCGTGCGTGCACCCACCCATGCATGGACCCCCCCCCCCATCACGTCTCCTTACCTCTCAGCAAAAACCTCCTCCCTCCGCCGTCCCAAAATTGGAGGAGGAAGTGGCTCCCCGACCCGCAGACAGGGGCCTCTCTAGGAATGCAAAACTAGCCAGTCTCTCTCTGTCTTTCTGCATATATTTTTTTAAAGGCCACCAGGAGTCGTCGTGGGGATTGGAGAGGTTTCGGGGAAGGTGGGGCTTTGCATTGCATTGCATTGCAACCCTCCCTCTTCAAGACAGGCTGCCTCCTCCACAGGGTTGTTGCTTTCGCCTTTACGCACCGTTATGTTCCCGGGTTTTTGAAGTCTGGTGCTGGAGGAGACTCTTGAGAGTCCCATGGACTGCAAGAAGATCAAACCTATCCATTCTTCAGGAAATCAGCCCTGAGTGCTCACTGGAAGGACAGATCATGAAGCTGAGGCTCCAATACTTTGGCCACCTCATGAGAAGAGAAGACTCCCTGGAAAAGACATTGATGTTGGGAAAATGGAGGGCGCAAGGAGAAGGGGACAACAGAGGATGAGATGGTGGGACAGTGTTCTCGAAGCTACAAACATGAGTCTGACCAAACTGCGGGAGGCAGTGGAAGACAGGAGTGCCTGGCGTGCTCTGGTCCAGGGGGTCACGAAGAGCCGGACACGACTAAATGACTAAACAACAACATGTTCCCGGGAGCCACGCAGAGGGGGAAATGTAGGTGCAAATGGCAAATGGCCTTCAATGCTCCTGTGCGTGGAGTGCTGTTCCGTTTGGGAACATGGATTCCCACCCCCCAAAATCCAGAAGGGGGTCACAGAAAAACAAGCAAGATTTCTGGGTTGCCAGAGCCCGCCTTCTCATGCAGGGGAAGCCCTTAACTCACTGAGGGTTGAGAACCATCGGCCACCCTCACCTGGTTTAGCCGGCCCATTTCCCAAGATGTGGCTGCTTCTGACCGTCTCTAGGAGCTGCAGGTGTGAGCCATAGGAGCCAACTCCCAGGGGGCTTTGCCCCCCCCCCAGTTAAATATTTGAGGGGGCCAGCCCTCCCAGCAAGCTAATGGGCTTTGCCATTCAAATGGTATCCCTGGAGAGAGAGCTGAGTGCTGGGTGGGGACCAGAAGGGGCATGATTTGCCCCTTGCCCATCAGATGTGAAGGAAATAAACAAAGACCTGACTTTTAGAAGACATCTGAAGGCAGCCCTGTGGAGGGAAGTTTTAAATGTGTGATCCTTCATTATACTTTTGTTGGAAGCCACCCAGAGTGGCTGGGGCAACCCAGGCTGTTGGGGTGGGTACAAATTTTATCATCATCATTATCATAATAATCATATTTTGGTTGCCCTTTTGTGAACATTTTCCAACTCTCCTCTGCCCCATGGAAAGCAAGGTCAACTAGTTTCATGTCTCATCCACCCACACCCAATAACAATACAGTTGTTATTATATATTATTATTATTATTATTATTACTGCGCCCATCTGGCTGGGTTTCCCCAGCCACTCTGGGCGGCTCCCAAAGGTAAAGGTAAAGGACGCCTGACAGTTAAGTCCAGTCGCAAACGACTCTGGGGTTGCGGTGCTCATCTCGCTTTACTGGCCGAAGGAGGCGGTGTTCGTCTGCAGACAGTTTTTACAGGTTATGTGGCCAGCATGACTAAGCCGCTTCTGGCGAAACCAGAGCAGTGCACAGAAAAACACAATTTACCTTCCCGCCGGAGTGGTACCTATTTATCTACTTGCACTTTGACGTGCTTTCAAACTGCTAGATTGGCAGGAGCAGGGACTGAGCAATGGGAGCTCACCCCGCTGCAGGGATTTGAACCACAGACCTTCCTATCGGCAAGCCCTAGGCTCATTTGTTTAGCAGCTCCCAACAGAATATTAAAAACACGATAAAACATCATACATTAAAAACTTCCCTAAACAGGACTGCCTTCAGATGTCTTCCCAAAGTCAGATAGTTGCTTATCTCCTTGACATCTGATGGGAGGGCGTTCCACAGGGAGGGCGCCACCACCGAGAAGGCCCTCTGTCTGGTTCCCTGTAACCTCACTTCTCGCAGGTAGGGAACTGCCAGAAGGCACTCGGAGTTGGACCTCAGTGTCCAGGCTGAATGATGGGGGTGGAGACGCTCCTTCAGGTATACTGGACTGAGGCTGTTTAAGGCTTTAAAGTTCAGCACCAACACTTTGAATTGTGCTTGGAAACGTCCTGGGAGCCAATGCAGATCTCTCAGGATCGGTGTTATATGGTCTCGGCAGCCGCTCCCAGTCACCAGTCCAGCTGCCGCATTCTGGATTAGTTGCAGTTTCCAAGTCACCTTCAAAGGTAGAGCGCATTGCAGTAGTCCAAACATGTCTCTCCCTTATCGGTCTCTACTGGCACAACAAGCTCTGTGACCTTCGAATAGCTCGACTTCATTTCCAAAGGCACAGTCCTCCACTGTCTCCCAAGAGAGATGAATGCAGACCAGTAATAAACATGTTAGTTTTTGAATTGCCACAAGACTCCTTGTTATAGATGTATGAAGGTTATCTAGCCCGCGGTGAGGGATAACTGAGCACATTGGGCAAAGGCCAAAAAGATGTTATTGACACTCCCAACTCCCTTCAGCCTTTGCTACCAAAGTCACTTTAAAAATGCAGACAGAGCCCAGAGAGGAATTCTGATTAACACTGTACTGAGTCAAACTGAGCAAAAACAGCATATCATTTGAGGAGAAAGAACAAGGGAAGTTTTGTCTTTTTTAGGTCAGGCCTTGTACATAGGAGGAAGACATTCAACTAAACACAGAAAGGGAAAACTGCCTCAGACTATACAGCCAGTGTCTCTGACTTGATATAACATACAGCAGAATTGTAGCTAGGGTCAGAAAATGAATGTCATTCTTGATATCTGTTTCCCAAAGTGTTCATAATTAATAAATGCATATGACTCATACAAAAAGTTAATAACTACACAACCAATCAGAGAATGTGTTACCTCAGTGAAGATCATGCAATACTATCTGGTCTCAAAGCAGCAGAACCACCCCTCTTAGCTAATGTACTAACATTGGCAGAATTAACCCTTACGTGGCAAACTGTATGATCCCTGCTGCTGCACTGCCAATACCCCGACCACTGGGCATGCTGTGACTGGGGTGGGGAGGGGAGATGTTCTTCAGCAACGTCTTTGTGGGGGACAGGACAAAGTTAAATTACAATGAGCAAAGCGAACACAACGTTGCTAACAAAATATTTGTAAAATATCCAAGACAAATTACAGCCACCACAAATACTGCTCTACTTTACATGAGAAGGAGAGAGGAGAATTGGGAGGTCAGAATTCTATGGCAGAACACGTTTGCAAACACCCCAAGAGTTTGGGGTGTCGGGGTGGGGGCTTCGTGAGCTGTCTAAATCCAACCCCCTTGCTTGAGGCAAGACATCTTGAGCCAGGGCACCCCCCCCAAAAAAAAAAAATATTGGGTGAACTGGACTTTGCTGGCAGGCCTCAGGTCCAATCTTCCATGTCCTAGATAGCAGGGCTTGGAAATTCTCCAGAGCCGTTTCCAGAGGAGACTATGAAAGGTGAGACTTTGGAGCTGTGAACCACGTTCCTAGGCCCACAAAGGGGCACCATTGCAGACACCAGCCCCATAGCCTTTGGCCTCCCCAGCCTGACGACTCCATTGATTTCCAAGCATTTTGCCATTGGTCATCTGCTGTCCTTCAGACCAACTCAATCTGTGTATGTGGAAAAGCCAGCCTTAAATCTCTTAGCCACCAGCAGGCCTGCCCTTCTAGACGTTGCCTACTCCGTTTCTAATAATACCCCGTCCTGCGTTAGTAAGACCTCCATCTCTTCAAGTGTGGCAGCAGCTACCCTTGGGAACTCCCTGCCTATTGATATCAGGCAGGAAACTTCACTGTACACCGCCCAGAGTGACTAGGGAAACCCAGCCAGATAGGCAGGAAATAAATAAGACAATTATTATTATTATTATTATTATTACTCTTTTTGGTGCCTCCTAAAAATGTTTCTGTTTAGGTAAGTTTATAAAGCTGATCCGGGTTTTAATCTGTTTTTGGTCTATTGCTATTTTTTAGAAAGCTTAGAATCATAGCGGTCAACCGTCCCTTATTTGGCGGGAAAGTCCCTTATCCCAGCACTGTGTCTCACTGCTATCCCTTATTGATGATGTCCCTTAAATTTCCCGGGTTTCAAAGGAAGCAGCTCCTCTCCCTCCCTCCCTGCCGGCCAGGGAGGAGGGAGGCTCCAACTGTGTTGCTTGGCTGCGTTGCTCACCCAATAAGGAGTCTAAGAACGACTGGGGGGTGGAGCTTGCATGCCTTGTGCCCATCAAATCGGCCATTTTGCCTGGGGACTCGCCTTTGCTCAGCGCTTCCCAGCGGAGAGGTGACGCTGGTTTTCCTTGCTGCATCCCCTTTGCCGGGTTGCTGCGCTGTGGGAACCACTGCTTGAGGCTTCGTTTGGCTGCTGGCTGGGCTTTCTGCCTTTGGCTTGGAGTGGCTCAGAAGTTGAACATACCTGTGCTTGGAAAATCCCTTATTTTGGCTGCTGGTCCCTTATTTTCAAATCTGCAAGTTGACAGCTATGCTTAGAATTATAGTTGTTAATTTTTCTTAAGTGATAATTTTAATGTTTTATCTTCTTCTTTTTCTTAAAAAAATCAACAACACACAACTCCTAGGCTTTTTCAAAGCAGTGTATAAATGGTACGAAATAAAAAAAAAATAAGAAAGCTACATGTCTAAGCTACATGTCCCCATTACAACCACGTGGAAGCGATTCTTGCAACTTGACCATGGTGTGGTTGGTGAAGAAGCTGTTTCACCTTTGTTGGCCTTGGGCTGACCCTCCAACCAGTCTCACTGGCGGTGTGCCCAGATCTTTGTGTTTTGAGAGTGAGGAATTCTCTCCATCCACAGTTAATAAATTCATAGAATCATAGTTCTTCTGTAGAGTTGAAAGGGATCCAAATGGTCATCTGTTCCAATCCCCTGCAATTCATATCATTCCATCCTGTTCTGGGGCAACCCAGTTCAATGGGCGGGATACAAATAATAAAGTTGTTGTTGTTGTTGACCTCTTCATATTGACCTGTCACAACATCCATTGTTCTCTCAAAACCCTGGCAGCCAAGCAGGAACCACTGTCATGCCATGACAATGTCACATTAAAGGATTCATGGCATTGTAGAGAACGAGTTCCGGTATCATAGCTAGAAAACAGCTAATTGCTGAAAGATACATTTCTCCCTCTCTTTCTGATTAAAGGCTACTTGTAATTAGTCATCTATACCCCCAGTGGCTTGGCTAGAATATTTACTAGGTGGACAGATTTATTTGATAAAATGGACCGGGGGGAAAGCATAACAAAACAAAAGTCATTCAGGTTTTTCTACATTTTCACCAAGCTTAGGTTTCTCCCCTTTATGGATTCTCTCTTAAAATCAGAGAAGCTCCACTCTGCTTGTAATACGTTGCCTCCGTGTGAATCACTGGAGAGGAAAGTCATCCTCATATCTTTCTCATGTGTCTTCCATATCCCAAAGATGTCTCTGTCCTTCTCAGGGTGCCCTCCCTTTGTGCACTCTCTGATGTCTAATAAGGTTTATCTTCTGGCTGAAACTCTTCCCGCACTCTGGGCATTCGTAGGGTTTCTCTCCGGTGTGGATTCTCTGATGGTAAGTGAAGTTGGTGAGTTGGCTGAAGCCCTTCCCACACTCGGCACATTTGTACGGCTTCTCTCCGGTGTGGATTCTCTGATGGGCACTAAGGCTTGAGCCGTCGCTGAACCTCTTCCCGCACTCTGAGCACCGATATGGTTTCTCCCCTGTATGTACCCTCTGATGCCTCGCAAGGTTTATCTTCTGGCTGAAGGTCTTCTCGCACTCAGAGCACTTGTACGGTTTCTCCCCTGTGTGGATTCTCCGATGTTCGTTAAGGTTTGAGCAATGGCTGAAGCTTTTCTCGCACTCAGGGCATTGGTATGGTTTCCCTCTAGAGTGAAGTCTCTGGTGGTAAGCAAAGCTAGTGGTCTGGCTGAAGCTCTTCCCACACTCGGAACATTTGTAGGGTTTCTCCCCAGTGTGGATTCTCTGATGATCATTGAGGCTTGAGCTGTGGCTGAAGCTCTTTCCACACTCGGGGCATTTGTAGGGTTTCTCTTTCGCATGTGCTCTTTGATGCCTGGTGAGATTTATCTTCTGACGGAAGCTATTCCCGCATTCGGAGCATGTGTACGGTTTCTCCCCCGTGTGGATTCTCTGATGTATTTTCAGGGTTGTGCTCTGACTGAAGCTCTTCCCACACGCCGAGCACTCATGGGGTTTATCCCTCGTGTGCACTCTCTGATGTCGCGTAAGGTTCATCTTCTGGCTGAAGCTCTTCCCGCACTCGGAGCATTTAAACGGCTTCTCTCCCGTGTGGATCCGTTGGTGCCGAGTCAGGTTTGTGCTCCGGTTGAAGCTCTTCCCACACTCCGAGCATATCAAGAGCATCTCCCCTTCATGGATCATCTGATCTGTGCTAAAGACAGACGGCTTTGAACACAGAGTCTTTCCTTTTTCTCTTTTGTGATACATTTGTGGGGCTGGGATTTCTTGGGAACAGACAGAATTCATCTTCCCTGGCTGTTCTGATCCAGCTTTCCTTCTCCCTTGCCTTTCCTGCCCATCATCTGCGGGAATAAAGGAAGATAATCAGAGATAATCAGAGACCCAGATTGTCAAGTAGCTATTGGGCAATTTACACTACAGCTGTCTTTTTGTAAGGCGTTTCAGATTTTGCGTTTTGTACCTCAAAATCATGGGTAGGCAAGCTAAGGCCAGGGGGCCGGATCTGGCCCAATCGCCTTCTAAATCCGGCCCGCGGATGGTCTGGGAATCAGTGTGTTTTTACATGAGTAGAATGCATCCTTTTATTTAAAATGCATCTCTGGGTTATTTGTGGGGCACAGAAATTTGTTCATTATTTTTTCCGAAATATAGTCCGACCCCCCACAAGGTCTGAGGGACAATGGACGGGCCCCTGCTGAAAAGGTTTGCTGACCCCTGCTCAAGATACTCCTGACAAGGCAATCAATAATAAATAATAATGAAAAACTGCAAGGAAAGGGCCAAAACTGTCATGACTAATTTCTTTCAGGGCAGAAACTGGAAAGTGCTAGAAAGTGCTGGAAGATTCTGGAAGCTTCCAGCAGGTTAATTTCTGATACAAATAATGTTTTGACTACATCAAGGTCAAGCTGAACCAGAAGAGATAAATTCCTGTGGTCAGCGAGCTGCTCTCTCTCTCTCTCTCTCTCTCTCTCTCTCTCTCTGCTTGTACATTTGTAAGTTTTTCCTTTTACTGTGGATCTTCTGACTCTGCGTGGTTCTTTTTGTTTACTGCAAGACACCTTGTAGTTCTTCCAGATTGAGAGAGGAGAATGCAATGACGCCTTGCTGTTAAAAAAAATTTTTTTAAACAACTCACAGAAATTAGGTGGATCCTAAAAACACAGGGGGCGCGGATGGCACTGTGGGTTAAACCACGTAGCCTAGGACTTGCCGACCAAAAGGTCGGCGGTCCGAATCCCCGTGACGAAGTGGACTCGAATCCCTGCGACGGATGCTCAGTCCCTGCTCCTGCCAACCTAGCAGTTCAAAAGCACGTCAAAGTGCAAGTAGATAAATAGGTAGCACTCCGGTGGGAAGGTAAACGGCGTTTCCGTGCACCGCTCTGGTTCGCCAGAAGCGGCTTAGTCATGCTGGCCACATGAACCGGAAGCTGTACGCCGGCTCCCTCGGCCAATAAAGCAAGATGAGCTCCGCAACCCCAGAGTCGGTCACGACTGGACCTAATGGTCAGGGGTCCCCTTTACCTTTTAAAAACACACACCTCTAGTGTCAAAAGCCAAGGCAAAGAGGCCTTCTCTGGGAGCTGTATAATGAAGGTGCCTGACACACCTTTGTGCTCAAGAAGTCCCACAGCTTAGGGCGCCACACCACCTTCGAGTGTGGAGGAACTACCAAGTGGGTCCCCTCTGGTGGTCTCAGCACCCAAGAGGGTCTTTAGGGAAGGACGTGGTCTCTCCTGTATTTGCAACCTGAATTGTTTAGGGCGGGCATGTCCAACAGGTAGATCATGATCTACCGGTAGATCGCTGGGTGCCTGTGGTAGATCACCAGTAGATCAGTGGCTCCCCTAAAAAAGCTCAACATTTTAGCCCTGTACCCCCCCAAAAAGCTGTGCTTTCCCACTTTCGTAAAAAAAGTTCAGCAAGCATGACCTGAACCCCTAAAGAAGGGATAGATCACTGCAAGTTTTTAACTTTGTGAGTAGATCACAGTCTCTTGGGAGTTGGCCAGCCCTGGTTTAGGGCTTACAAACACTAACACGAGGACCTTCAACTAGACCCAGAAAAGAACTGGTCATGAATACAGCTGTTTTAAAACAGGGGTTATATGAACTCTGCAGGTAGGGTAAAGGACCCCTGGACAGCTGAGTCCAGTCGAAGGTGACTACGGGGTTGCAGCGCTTCTCTCGCTTCAGGCCAAGGGAGCCAGTGTTTGTCAACAGAAAGCTTTCTGGGTCATGTGGCCAGTATGACTAAACCGCTTCTGGTGCAACAGGACGCCGTGACAGAAACCAGAGCACACGGAAATGCTTCCCGCCACAGCGGTACCTATTTATCTACTTGCGCTGGCATGCTTTCGAACTGCTAGGTTGGCAGGAGCTGGGACAGAGCAACAGGAGCTCACCCCGTTGTGGATCTGAACCGACCTTCTGATCAGCAAGCCCAAGAGGCTCAGTGGTTTAGACCACAGCACCACCCACTCCCCTAAGATCTGCGGGTAGCCCCAGCCAGTAATCTGGCTGTTGCATTTGCGGCCCAGTGAAGTCTCTGAGTCATCTTCTTTGCATTGCAATAATCCAATTGGGAAGTAATGGGGTACTGTGGTCAGCTGCGTAAGTATCTTGATTTAAAATAAAAATCGAGCATGCTGCTGTCGTTCTGCTCAAATAGTGCAATGAATGAAGTAGGAAAAGAGTGGCTGAAATCCCTCCTTTCTGTGTCTGTCTGCCAGGGGAGAGCAGCGAGCCTTACACAGAGAGTTCAAATTCCCGTAATTCTCCTCCATGACTTCCCTGTGCAGAGCTCTCTGGGCCGGATCCAGCAGAGCCCACTCCTCCTCCGCGAAATGCACAGCCACCTCCTCAAAGGTCACAGGGCCCTGAAAGACAAAGGAAACAGGTTGTCCTACTGGATAACACAAGAATTCAGGGGGGAAAGACAGTAAAAGGAGGAGGAGAGGTTCTCCTGCAGGATCTGGAGGTTGGTCAGTGGTAGTCAAAAGTCTTCTGAACAGGCAGTTTTCAAGAGCATAAGAAGAACGTGCTGGATCGGGCCAATGGCCCATAAAGCCCAGTATCCTGTTCTCACAGTGGCCAACTAGGTGCCTCAAACAGTGGCGTAGGAGAGCTGAAAACAATGGCAAACTATTTCACATCTAGCAACCAATGTGCCCTTTTGGTTTCAGATGGGTAAAGGTAAAGGGACCCCTGACCATTAGGTCCAGTTGTGGCCGACTCTGGGGTTGCGGCGCTCATCTCGCTTTATTGGCCGAGGGAGCCAGCGTACAGCTTCCGGGTCATGTGGCCAGCATGACTAAACTGCCTCTGGCGAACCAGAGCAGCGCATGGAAACGCCGTTTACCTTCCCGCCGGAGTGGTACCTATTTATCTACTTGCACTTTGACGTGCTTTCAAACTGCTAAGTCAGCAGGAGCTGGGACCGAGCAACAGGAGCTCCCCCCTCGCGGGGATTCGAACCGCCGACCTTCTGACCGGCAAGTCCTAGGCTCTGTGGTTTAACCCACAGCACCACTACCGCGATGGGTAGACAAGTCTAAAAATCCCGGGACACAAGTTTTCATGGCCCTCCAGCGGCTACAGTGGCGTATTGTCCAGAAGTAATGTATTCAGCATTAACTCTGGGAGAGCGTACTGGATTCCGACCCAACTTAGCCTCCTGGCATATATTGTGCTCATGTCTATGCGCAGTACCTGGGAACGCAACCTCAGCATAAGTGGGGCAGTCGCCCGTAAATGGAATTAAGCAAACAAATCTCTGCAATGATGACCTGATCCGGTGGAGAGTGTGCCACTTCCATTTCCACTCGGGCAGGAAGAGAATGAAGTCCTTTTGCCATCCCGACACCTGGGGAAGAGAAAGGATGTGAGGATGTGGCGCTTGTCCTAGGAAATATATAAATTTGGCACTTCAGTTTGTGGGCTGATGTAAAATCTGTCTCCACGTTTGCTTTGGGCCTAGTTCAAGATGGCGGCTTTAGATTTCGGGCCTTGCGCCTCCAGGCCTCTGGAATCAGTAGCTAGCCAAAATCAGGCCCCCAGCATCATGGGGCCGGATCCAAAATGCTGATCCTACTTAGAGGAAGGAAATGCATCCGAGTTGGGCCACATTCACAATATGCATTGAGAGTGGCATTACACCACTTTAAACAGCTTCCTGCAAAGGGTTCTGGGAACTGTAGCTGAAGGGTGCTGTGAGTTGTTAGGACGCTCTCACGGCACTACAATTCCCGGAGTACCCTGTGCAGAAAGATGGAATGTTAAACCACTCTGGGAATCGTAGCTCCGTGACGGGAAGGGGGATTCTCCGAACCAATCTCAGCACCGTACTGAACTACAGGTCCCATAATTCTTTGAGGGAAGCCATGACTGTGCAAAGTGGTATCACAGCACTTTAAATGTTAGGATGTGAATGTGCCCTTAGGCGGGTCCATGAACTTCCATGGGTCTACTCTGTGTAGACCCAATACAAGTCCATGGTGTCGAGGTTCTGCATCCTGAAGACTATTTTGTTGTGGTTTAAGAAGGGCTTCCCTGAGGAGTGACCCTCCTGGTCATGTATGGACATTAACTGTAAGCCTGTAAGAACAGCTTTAATTGTTCTCAATAGTTTTTGTGTATTTAATTTCACCTTCTACTTGGCTCTGATGGGCTCAGGCTGGGAAACGGTTTATTAACTTTTAAAAGGATCTAGGAGTCTTGATTGACCACAAACTTGACATGAGCCAACAGTGTGACGCGGCAGCTAAAAAAGCCAATACAATTCTGGGCTGCATCAATAGGAGTATAGCATCTAGATCAAGGGAAGTAATAGTGCCCCTGTGTTCTGCTCTGGTCAGACCTCACCTGGAGTACTGTGTACAGTTCTGGGCACCACAGTTCAAGAAGGACACTGACAAACTGGAACATGTCCAGAGGAGGGCAACCAAAATGGTCAAAGGCCTGGAAACGATGCCTTATGAGGAACGGCTAAGGGAGCTGGGCATGTTTAGCCTGGAGAAGAGGAGGTTACGGGGTGATATGATAGCCATGTACAAATATATAAAAGGATGTCACATAGAGGAGGGAGAAAGGCTGTTTTCTGCTGCTCCAGAGAAGCGGACACGGAGCAATGGATCCAAACTACAAGAAAGAAGATTCCACCTAAACATTAGGAAGAACTTCCTGACAGTAAGAGCTGTTCGACAGTGGAATTTGCTGCCAAGGAGTGTGGTGGAGTCTCCTTCTTTGGAGGTCTTTAAGCAGAGGCTTGACAACCATATGTCAGGAGTGCTCTGATGGTGTTCCCTACTTGGCAGGGGGTTGGACTCGATGGCCCTTGGGGTCTCTTCCAACTCTATGATTCTATGATTCTATGAAAATAAAATACGTGAACCCAAAGTCCCCGAAAAATAAGAGCGGGGGGGGGGGGAGTCTGATTTTGATCCATGAAATGAAATGCTACATGTATTTTTTTTAAAAAACAACCTTTTATTCATTTTTAATTTATGAGATTTATATAACCGCCAACCACCAAAAGACCATTTTTCAAAATTACTGTTTATCAAATTTGTATAACACCCTTCATCCGTAGATATCGGAGGGGGGTGGTTTGCAGCATTAAAAAAAAAGGACAAAAACACAAAATACAGAGAGAATAATAGAATAGTAGGATGGAAGGGACTGCAAGGATCATCTAGCCCAGGGGTCTGCAACCTTTAAGACAAAAAGAGCCACTTGGACCCGTTTTCGAAGAAAAAACAACAGCTGGGAGCCGCAAAACAAGCCAAATGTAAATAACCACACATTCTTCCCCTTCCCCCATTCTCTCTCTTTTCCCTGAGTCTATTTCAGATAGCAAAGAGGGGAATGGTACCTCTCATATCCATTTTTTGCAAAGCACCATGTGCATAGAGGGCATTATACAAATTAATACATAGAAAAGTGTCTGTCCCTCCCTGCAGTTCAACTCCCTCTCTTTTTACTAAAAGCACATATCCATTCCTTCTGCTGGTGCAACTTTCTCATCATTTCTACATAGCAGCATTTATAAACCAGTGCCAGAGAAACTGGGTGAAAGGAAGGTGAGAGGGAAGAGATATGAATATTTATGTGTGTATATGTATACATACATACACCTACACAATTACAGGTTTGAAGCCAACTTAAAATAAAAAGAGCTGGTAAGCAAAGGAATCTGTGGTGCTTTCCATGGGACCAGGGGACATGTCAGCTAATACTCTTCCCTTTCTTCTTCATTTGCTTGTCTCTGCAGCAAATCTCGAGGGGGAAGGGAGAAGGGCAGGAATTGCATAGGCAGGAGAGAACGGGGAAATCCCGCATGCAGGATTTTGGTGCCTAACAGCTCCCCCTCCCTCTGCAATTGCTCTCGTGCTCCCCCGCCTCTCCTGCTGGCTACCTCTGGACCCCCTCCTCCCTCAACTCGGCGGCCACTCAGAAGCAAGGCACAGAAAAGGATCCCGAAGCACCACCGCCACCCCTCTCTCTCTCTCTCTCACACACACACACACACCCCACCCCGCCATTTCCCTCGAGCGTGTGTGCGCTCTCTCCCTCGCCTCAGGTGCCTCGCGTGCGGGGCTGAGGAGAGCGTGGCCTGGGTGGGCGGCTCTCAACGTCAAGCGGCGCAGCGCGCGGGGCCTGAGGGCGGGCGGGCTGCTGCGACCGACGGCGAAAGGGAGCGCGCCTGCTTGTGGACGCGCCCGTGTGTGGCAGGTGCCAGCGGTGGCAGTGGCAACAGTGTCCACCTGAAGGGAGAACCGCCGCTGCGCCCTGGCGCGCCTTCCTGCCGCCGCCCTCCTCCTCTTCTTCTTCGCTCCCTGCACCATGAGGGAAGAGGCGCCCCGGAGCCGCAGCAAAGGTTTAAAGGAGCCACATGCGGCTCCGGAGCCGCAGGTTGCCGACCTCTGATCTAGCCAAACCCACAGCCATGCAGCCAACTCACCTAACTCCCTCCCCAACCCCACCCCTCTGGCCAACTTGAAATATGTCCCCTTGATTCTTACCTGTCCTCCCGTCAACCTTCTGCTGGGTCCCCCCTAACACTGACCTCAGTCCAGTGTCCGATGGGGTTTCTTGTACCACAGAGAAATCTGACATGGCTGGTATGGCTGAAGTCCTTTCCACCTGAAATGGAACCCCAGGCAGAGAAGATGCAGGTGAGGAGCTTTGCTTCTAAGATTC